AGAAGAAGAAGAAGAAGAAGAAGAAGAAGAAGAAGAAGAAGAAGAAGGGGCTATGAAACCGGAGGAGTGACAGTGGACTTCAGAGCTTAGTGGGAAGAATGGGGGATGGAGATGGTCAAATACATTCTATGCAGACATAATATTCTCAAAAATTATTAACTAAAAATGAATTTAAAATGTTTTGATTTTCAGTAGTCATTCTAGTTGGTAATTGTTCATTTAACCTTAGCTTACTTGATTCTAAGATACTTTTGCCAAAATTGTAAATTGTATGTGTGTGTGTGTGTGTGTGTGTGTGTGTGTGTGTGTGTGTATGTGTATGTGTGAGAATGAGATAGAGAGAGCTAACTCTAAAAAGTAGTTTCTGAGGGTCGGGATGGCTCTAAAGGTGCAGTTTCCAGCACCCACATGGTGGCTCACAACCACCCGAAACTCACTCCTTGCACCTGTGATGGTGATGGTAGGTTCACAACAGAGCCAGAACCATGTGCGAAAGAAAGTGAAAACCTGTGGTAGGATGGGGACTCAAGAGACGGACAAGGGCTGGAGATAGAGCTGAGGTGCCTGGGGTACATAACACTTTAGGCTTTACTTTTACACACAATAAAAGGGTACAGTTTCACAAAATAAACATAGCTAATTCTTTAAGAATTAAAGAACATAGCTATTCTTTAAGAATATTAAGTACAAAATTGTCAGTACATGCTTTTTTGGAGTGCATATATTGTAAAAGATTCTTCCTAGGTTTATATGGACAGTGTAGAAATATACTGTTTAAGCACACCTTTACTTCATGGCAATTAAATAAAGTAGCAATACATCTTAACACATACATAAAATGTAATACACATGGGCTTAGGAGCTCCTGGTGGTTTCTGGTTTTGAGTCAGGGTTTCATGTAGTCCAGGCTATTTTTGACTACATGGCTTATATGTAGGTGAATTTCTGATCCTCCTGCCCACCTCCCAAGTGCAGTGGTGTTATAGGTGTGTGCTGCCATGCCCAGTTTTATGTGGTACTGGAGACTGAACCCACTGCACTAGGAAACTAGGCAAGCACTCTACCCACCAAGCTCCAGCTCCAGCTTTCTCAGACCTATTTTAATAACGACACCAAGTCAGAACAGTGAGATACCTATGCATATGAAAGACAGAGTAATAACAAACCTCTAAGTTCATTAAAAAACAAACATGTTGTTAAAGTGAATGAAATTGTGGTACATTTACACAATGGAATACTATTCAGCAATTAAAAACAAGGAAACCATGAAATTTGCAGGCAAATGGTGGGATCTAGAAAAGATCATCCTGAGTGAGGTAACCCAGAAGCAGAAAGACACACATGGTATATACTCACTTTTAAGTGGGTACTAGACCTATAAGATAGGATAAACATACTAAAATCTGTACACCCAAGGAAGCTAATCAAGAAGGAGGACCCTATGTAAGAGATCAATCCTCACTCAGAAAGACAAATGGGATGGACATTGGAAGTAGGAGAAAACAAGTAACAGGACAGGAGACTATCACAGAGAGCCTCTGAAAGACTCTACCTAGCAGTGTATCAAAGCAGATGCTGAGACTCGTAACCAAACCTTCGGCAGAGTGCAGGGAATCATATGAAAGAAGGGGGAGTTAGTATGACCTAGAAAGGACAGGAGCTCCACAACGACCAAATATATCAGGGCACACGGGTCTTTCATGAGACTGTTTCTCCAACCAAGGACCATATACGGATATAACCTAGAACCCCTGCTCGGATGTAGGCCATGGTAGCTCAGCATCCAAGTGGGTTCCCCAGTAAGGGGAACAGGGACTATTTCTGACATGAACTCAATGGCTGGCTCTTTGACCTACCCCCCCCCACTCCCAAGGGAGGAGCAGCCTTGTTAGGCCACAGAGGAGGACATTGCAGCCAGTACTGATGAGACCTGATATGCTAGGGTCAGATGGAAGGGGAGGTGGACCTCCCCTAGCAGTGTACTTGGAAAGGGGCAGGGAGGAGATGAGGGAGGGAGGGTGGAATTGGGAGGGAATGAGGGAGGAGGCTACGGCTGGGATACAAAGTAAATAACCTGTGATTAATATAAAAAAATAAAAATTATAAAAAAAAGAGAAAATCCCAAATTGTTTGATTTTTACCAATGAAGACTCAGGAGCCAGATGCTGGGGAAAAAATCTGCTAGCTCAGAGTGACAGAGAAAGCTGAGTAGGTGACCTTCCTACTCAGCTCACATTCCAGAGGAAAAAGCCCAAAGCCTGCTAGCTCATGAGGGAAAGGCCTGCAAGCTCACCTGACAGCCCAGGAGGAAAAGGCCAAAAGCTAAAGGCCAAGTTGCTGAAGAGCTCCTTCTTGTCCAAGTTGTCTTAATAAATACCCTTCAACTCAGTGTCCCTCCTTTCTGTTTACTCCCTGTCTCTGTTTTTTTTGCTTGACTCTTGACCTAGTATAAACTTTATTAAATCTTGTGTACAGGAAGCTCTTGGATTAGAGGTGTGTGTTAGGGCTGAACCATACTGAACGAAAGACAGGTTTTTACAGTTCACAATCTCAGGGTTCACAATGGGATCAAATAACTTGCAACACAAACAAACAAACAAACAAACCCAAACCAACCCAACCCTACCCAAACCAAACCAAAAAATAAATAAAAATAAAATAAAATAAAAAAACAGGACTACTTTTAGAATGGACCTAAAAACCATCTGTAGTAGTTTTTATCTGGGCAAGAAGCAGACTTTTGTTTGGAATGATTGCTTGCTACTCCTATTTTCTCCTCAATGCTTTCTTGCAGGCATACCTTCTCTGGACTGTGTCCCTGTATCTGAACACTGTGCAACTTCACTGATAGGAAAAATTTACATATAACTGTTTACCATATTCCGGGAAAAGGCTAACCAAGCAGAGAATCCTCATTTGTATGAAAATAAGCCACATTTATGTTTGTCATTCATTTATTTAAAAGTAACGTTTCTAAGAATTTTACTTTTGTGTGTAGTATGTATCATGAGATGGCAATTTTCAAAAAGATCACTTCCTGATATTCTTAACAGGTTGTGATTTGACTTAACTCTACTTAGCACATGTTTGTTAAAGATATTTTCTCTGTATGAAGCACTGTGCTAGATGCCACAGGTTTACAAAAGACTTAGTTCTTAGCTTTCAGAGTGGTGCACACCTTTGATCCCAGCATTTGAAAGGCAGGTAGATCTCTGAGTTCAAGGCCAGCCAGGACACAGTGACATACGTCTCAAAAACAAAAACAAAACAAGAGAAAAACACCAACAATAAACAGCTCACACCACAACAAAGATGTAAGGTGCAAGGGGGGATGGCTGGGACAGGTTTCCTCAAAGAGACAGTGTTTGAAATCTAACTCCAAGAGATGGACAGCAGCACTCCTGGGGAGAAGGCCAGATGACATCTCTTCATTGCCTAAGTATGGGTGTGTAGGGATAACTTCGGAATGCACCTGAACTTGACTCTATTCTGAATGAAAGACATGGAAGGCTTGTGAGCAAGACAGCTTCTCAGTGAGTGCTTTTCAATAGCCTTCTGGGTACCCAGGATGCGGACGTGAACAGACGAGCGTCCACACATTCAGAAGCATACTGTCTAGGGAGTGGATTCTCACAGCGGCATCTTAGCAGTGGAATTGGTCTCAGCATATGGTGGAATAGGGAAAAGGTAGAAAAATGTAATCAGTTAGGAAGTCATTTTAAAGATCTGCAGGAGAAGTGACAGATGCCTGAACTTAGAGAAGCAGGGTCTTATTTCTGAGACACTGCAGCCATACAAAGTGGACCACGCCACTGAACAGGGATGTCACAGTTTTACTATGTATAGTTCCCTAACTGGCTCTGAACTCATGATCTTTCTGCCTCCCCCTCCTGACTGCTGAGATTACAGGGGTGTGCACCATTTCAAGCTTATTTATTTATTTAGTGTGTATTTATGTGTGTATGAATGTAAAACACACATAAAAGCTTTTAATACAGAAGTGCAGAGGTAAATGTATTTAATCATTTGACCCTGCTCCTTTTTAAATTGTAAATTAAAAAATTGTAAATTAATTGTAAATTTTTAAAGATTTATTTATTTATTTATTTATTTATTTATTTATTTAATGTATATGAGTGTTCTATCTGCATTTATGCCTGCATGCTAGAAGACAGAATCAGTTCACATTATAGATGGTTGTGAGCCACCACGTGGTTACCAGGAATTGAACTCAGGACTTCTGGAAGAGCAGACACTTTTCCTAACTGCTTAGCCATCTCTCTAGCCCTTGACCCTGCTCTTTATTGTTTTTTAAGGATTTGTGTCTGTCTAATACTTCTTCCACTAGACACTTGAGTTCAAGTCTAATTTTAGTTTAGAACAATACTATACATATATAGAAAAAATACCTTTACATCCAGTTCTTCAGATTTAAGAGCAGAGGAAACCAAAGCTGCATAGATCTGTGCAAGGTGATGAAGTGTCTTTTCTGTAAGATGGTACCTAAGAAGAATGATGTTATGTTTACTGAATAGACATTTAGTTTCAGGCATGTCCCACCTCTCCTTGCACTTACTCTCCCCTCTCTGGAACAGACACTCCCACCTCCTGTCTTTAACCAAGCTATTAAATCTGGGGAGGCAGAGGATGTGTATGGAAGAGGATGAGGGGTGAGGAGGGAAACCTGACCCACTCCATTCTTATCACCAGGGATGACTGTAGGAACTAAAGTTAGACACAAAGACTACCCCATCTCTGGGTCAAAGTAGCAGGACCTTACCACCTTTCATGGGCACTATTCCCCTTTCGATAGTATGGACCAGGTCAGAGGTCAGTGTTGGCCTGTGAGTGGATACTTCTACCTTTACCTGCTCTTTTTACATATTCTAAGCAACAGTGAGGAGAGTGCCGTCTTATTACTAAGGACTCCACGGCGAGTATTGTTATGTGTAGGCATTTCTTGGCTTTGTCTTGCGTGTTAGCTTCTTCCTCTGTTCTTCTTCCTTCTTACACTGTTCCTGGGGTGATGTGAACCAATGTCTCCTTGTTCCAGACAGGGAACCAGTAAGGAAACCACCAAAGTCCAGCTGGGGGCACCATGTGTTTTACTGTGGTTACATACTGTGGGTGAGGGGTTACTCAGAGGAACAGAAACGACTCAAGGACAGCTGCATCACCCAAGCCCACCCCAACATGGGTGACAGCTCAGAAAGCTGGAAACCGGGAGCTTCCTTCACCCACTCTCCTGTGAGTAACCCAGCAAACCCTGGCTCACCAAGCTGGCTGCGGTGGTGTCCCTACTTGGTCATTGGTTCCCTGTCCAGGTGAGTAAACATGTTTGCCTCTCCCCATGAACGGTATCACACAGCACCCAGACCAATTAGTCCCGCAGAGTAATAGTTTAATAGAGTAACTTACTGTGCCCAGGCTGTTCTTACAAACAATATGAGTTCTGCTGAACATTTTCTTAACTTCTGAGCATCAGAACCCCCGACTCATGCTAAACTTGGTCATGTGTCTCTAATAAGCTTCCTGGCAGGATAAAGGTTTTTAAGTGTTGCCACAACTAGTTGCTGAGAAAATTAAGTACTCTGTGTGCAAACTAGGAAAAGACTCTTGGAAGCTTCCTCAGGGCTTTGTCCAATGAATTTCTTTTCTTGCTAATTTTGCATTATAGGTTGTTAACTTAGACTGTAATAAATCATAGCCGCAAGTACAACTATATGATGCCTCTTTCCGGCAAACATCAAACCAAAAGGTTCTCAAAGGCTGCTGATGCTCTTCCTTATACAGGAACTATCGGCCTGAATAACTATAATAATTCAAACCATTTCTTCTGCATTTTCTTTCATTTGGTCAGCTTATTGAGATATTACTTAAAGGTTTCAATTATCTAATAATACAGAACTATGAATCTTGGAATTCTGAAAATTATATTTATGACATATAATTAATAAATGATCACACTGCATATTCTGATAAAAATAAAGATATCTAAGAATATTACATGACAGGGTTCTTCTGGTATTCTCTGCTGTATTTCAACTGAACCACAAAACTATATAAAAACAGCAATCTAAAAACAACCTTAGAAAACTTCCAAATAAGTAATTTATCTAAAAAGCTGCAACCTTTGGATGAGGCTTACAATGATTTATAAGGAGGCAGGAAGCCTAAAGTATTTCATAGGCCTTATTCACCTTCAAAGTGATGGTGTTAGAGCATGAACCACAGCTCTTAACTCTGTAGCTAAGGTGGAAAGGGATAGCTATGTTAAATAACTTGCTGGGGCTGTTTGCTAATAGAAAAGAAGTTAAGATCCAAGGTTTTTAACTCTTAGATACCAGTCTGTATCTGTCCTCGCAAGATAGCAATTATACAGAAAGAGTTTGGTAAACTACTAAATAAGAGGAGTGTAAAAAAATTGTCCCCCCATCATAAAAAAAGAGCAAGGTGGTGGTGATGGTGCATGCCTTTAATCCCAGCACTCAGGAAGCAGAGGCAGTAATTAAAAAAACAAAACAAAACAAAAAAACCCTATCTTGAAAAATCAAAAACACAAAAGCAAAACAAACAAATAAAAAAAGTAAAATGTCAGGAAATCACAGGCAATGTCAAATATATATGTATATGTCAAATATGTACATATATACATATACATACACACACATACATTACATACATACATACATACATACTGGTTTTTCGACACAAGGTTTCTCTGTATGGCCTTGGCTGTCTTGGGCTTGCTTTGTAGACCAGGCTGGCTTTACACTCAGAGATCCACCTGCTTCTGTTCCCTAAGTGCTGGAATTAAAGGCGTGCACCACTACATCTGGTAATGTCAAATATATTGATACCTTCTTTAACAACCAATTTAAAGAACATGTAAAGCCTGCTTTGTGTTGTGGGATGTGGACTGATTCAGACTGTCCACAGCAGCAGGCTATTTGCCTCATGTGGGCTCCGCGTGGGGCTCTTTGCCGGCTGCGGATGGTTTAATTCTGAGGACTCTGAGCAGGAATAGAGGCCAGAGCCCGGAAAGAGAAGGGGACCAGCAAGAAGAAGGCTGATGGCGCTCTCTTCTGCCGCTTCTGCTGCTGTTGATGCAGTCGGATGAGAAGTTGGAGACTCCTAAAATGCAGATTGGACTTGCCTCAAGGAACCTGCCAACCCTAACCAGCAGGAAGCAGCTAAGAGAACTCTGCCTTCTCCCCACTAATCCTTTCTCCTACCTGGTGTTGGGGTGTTGGAAGGGACTGGGGTGGAGAAGAGAGAAAGAGGCATTAGAAACCCAAATAAAATAGTTTTAAAAAGGGTGTAACAACTGTGAGGTGGGATGTAGAACCGCAGGGATAAAAGTGAGTCAAACTGGTTGGTGATTTGGTAGGAAAGATGACTCACTCAGTGAACAACTTCTGAACACCATCAGAAGGAAGTAGTGCTCTTATGCTTTAGAACAGGTGCTCCAAAGAGTCAAGACAGAAGAGAAGAAGCAAAGCTGTTCACAGGAGGGAAAGGTGTGCATGAGGGAGTTCTCAGAAAAGATGGAGTAGAAAACACAGTACCTAGGGACAAGTCCTAAACAACTGAGTGCAGTTTCACTATAGGAAACAGTTGAGGAAGTAGAGGAGAAATTGGTGAAAGTAAACAGCACATGGCTAACCTGGAAGGCAGTGAAGAAGCAGCCTGCAGACACAGATGGGTCCTACTCCCAGCTCCTCACACATATGGGCCAGGTTTCTATTGTACTCTGTAGTGGCTGGTCTGGAACTTGCTGTGTAGACCAAAGAGGCCTTGCTTGCTTTTGTCTGGGATTAAAGGTGTTCACTACTGAGCCCTGCTTAGAGCCAGAAATCAACATCGCAAGTGTCATTTCTCAGGTGCTGTTCTGTAATTGGCCTGGAACTTGCCAACTAGGCTGGGCTGGCTAGCCAATGAGCACCAAGGATCCATCTGTTTTTGCCTCCCCAACACCAGGATTAGAATGTGCACCACCAGGCATTGGTGGCGTACTCCTTTACTCCCAGCACTCGGGAGGCAGAGGCAGGAGGATCTATGTGAGCTCAAGGCCAGCCTGGTCTACAGAGAGAGTTTCAGGAGAGCCAAGGCTGCAAGAGAAACCCTGTCTCATAAAACAACAAAGCAAAACAAAATGCACACCACCAGGCCTAAATTTTCCTCTTCAACATGGGCTCTGGGATTTGAACTGAAGCCTTCAGGTTCAAATTCACATCCTTGTGCCAAGCACTTTTCTGACTGAATTATCTTCCCAGGCCCTCAGTAAAAGCTTTTCATAAGAGTAGAATAATCAGAGCTTGGTTTTAGGGGCATCAACTGAGTATATGACACACCACTTAAAGGAACATTAAGAATTATCTGGAGATAGAAAATGTGTAGTGTAAACAGTCCACATGAAATAGTGAGGACTAAGCTAAGGTAATATAAATGCAGGATAAATGAATAGAAGGCAATGTAAAAAAATTGCTAATGCATGGATAAGAAGAAATGCAGGTTTGGAGGGGATAGAGGATATGTAGTCAGTTAATATCTGAACATGTTAACTTTGAGAGTTGGAGGAATATGAGGGTGGAAATATTAAATAAAGAATTAGAGATTTAGTGGGGCATGGTGGCATATACCTTTAGTCCCAGCACTCAGGAGGCAGAGATAGGCAGATCTCTGTGTTTGAGGCCAGTCTGGTCTACAGATTGAGTTCCAGGACAGCCAGGGCTACACAGAGAAAGTTTGCCTTGAAAAACCACCCCCCTGCACAAAAAAAAAAAAAAAAAAAAAAAACCTTAAGAGATTTATGCCAGGAATCCCCAAGAGACTTGCAGCTGCAGAAAGAAATGTAATTATATACCAAGAGATACCGATGAAATGTAATTATATACCAATAGATACTGATGACAGCTGCAGCATGCAAAGTGTATAATGAATAGGACAGAAGAGAGAGGACTCATGAGAAATATATTTAGAGAGTAACACAAAGAAGATATAAAGACAGGAAAAGTACTTAGAAAAGGGCACAATCAAAGATGTTGGAGGGCCATGGAACTGGAGAGTTTGGAGTGACATACCACTGGCAACAGCCTTCACTTCAGAGCAGTGAAGATAAAAGTGTTGTTGACGCTCTTGAGACAGTGACCTCCACAAACAAAGACTGGTACAGAGGCAGGGAGAAAAGCCAGCTGGCAGAGGGCAAAGGAGAAACTTTTATTATGCTTATCAGTAAAGGAAAGGAGAGATACTGTGATGACTCAAGCCGTTGTCTGGACATGGTGTTTTCCAGGGTTTTGGTTAAGAACCTCAAGGACATAAGGACAGAAAGAAGTTACGTATTTGGTGTATTAACATGATTTTAGATGTAGTTTCAGAATGATTTATCTTTTAGCAAAGAAACCCAGGATTACAATGAAATAAAGCACTTGAAATAACAACTCTTAATGAGATGAGAGCAGGAGGAGATGATCCAAACAGAATGTCCAGGACAATGTTTGTGCCCAGACTCATGCCTCCATCCCTAGAACCCTCACTAAAAGTGCACGAGACGAGTAAGTGGGACTTGACAAGAACATTCGTGCATAGAGGACTGACTACGAAGACTATGAACATGACTTTAGATGAAGAAATGTTTACCTACTCTGAATTTAATGTTTCCTTGGAATAAAGTATTATCCAACAACAGCTATACTGGAATGACAATGCCATTAATCTCATAATGATATTGTCTGATGCCTTCTCATAATGTAATTCTTCTAAGTCCTATAATAAAGAAAATGAAAAGATACGTTAGGTTGACTATTGTTAAAAACATCAGTAGTCCATGGCACATAAATGATAATATAAGAGTCATGGGTATGGTTTCCAGTTTCATGTAAAATTAAAATCACACAACAACGGGGAGCTACCGTAGACATAAAACGTAACTGATGACAGTGCTAACAGGGAGCTTCATGAGTCTTCCACAGCCCCAAGTATGAATAAAGTGGCTTAGTCAGTGCTCCTGTGCTGGGGCAGTTCTTTGTGAACTAGGATCTGGTACTCCAAGGCAACAGACAGTACATTTTGGGGGTGGGAGGTTGGTTTTTCGAGACAGGGTTTCTCCGTATAGCCCTGATTGTCCTGGACTTTGTAAACTAGGCTGGCCCTAACTTACAGCAATCTTCCTGCCTCTGTCTCCCTGAGTGCTGGAATCATAGGCGTGCGCCACTTCGCCCAGCTTAGAAAAGACATTTTAAAACCTATAGAATAACATGTTGATGGTGCAACTGGAAAAAGCTTGCCATGCAAGCATGGTGGCCTCAGCTCAAGCCCTGGAGCCCTGCACTGCACACTTGAAAGGGCAGGCTTAGTAAACTTCCTGGGCCCCTCAATGTCCGGATCCTCTTTTCCTTTAAAATAGCATTTAGAAAAAGTGTGCAGTTCAAGACATGTCCTTCTTCTAACACTAGTTTTATGGCTGTGGGTTAAGACAAGTCAACAAATAATTAAGAACTTTAAATGTTCAAGGACACACAGTCTCTTTAAAGATCCAGGACTTAAACTTTTTCATTAGGTCACTCTTTTTTTTTTTTTGAGATGTGTAGCCCTGGCTATTCCAGACTTGTTTTGTAGATCAGTCTGCCCTCTAACTCACAGAAATCTGCCTGCCTCTGCCTCTCTGAGTGTTGGGTTTGAAGGTGTGTACCACCATGCCTGGCTTATATCATTCTTATATTGTAATTTTTGCTCATCAAATTAGACTGCATCTCACCACATTTACCAATAATTTATATTCTGTATTATCAAACCTGATTTCTGAACTCCATTTCTTTGAAACTTCAATCAAACAAGAATATTCCAAAAATGTATACATCTTATGTCCCAAAGTCTGCATTTTAAGGGACCTGTGAGTCCGTGAGTCTCACAGTTGTATAGGTAATGTGCCAGCTGGATAGTAGTGTTACAGGTGAGGAGGCAGGTCCAAATTCTGGGTATTTTTGGAGATTCTTTTTCTGTCTCTGTCTCTGCCTCTCTCTTTAAAAAAACAATCTGAAGCAATCCCTATTTGCCTTAGAGGAAATTCTGCATTTGTTACCATCAATTAATATACTTTCTTGGGACTGGAAAGATGGCTCAGCAAGTAAGATCAATTACTACTCTTATAGAGAGTGTAGATTCATTCAGTTCCCAGAACTCAGATTCTTCAGATTATAATTGTCAGTAATTCCAACTACAGGGGATCCAATGCCCTCTGGCTCCTTGAGCACCTGTGACCACGTGGTGCACATAAACACACATGTACACATAAAGTAAAAAAACAAAAACAAAGAACAAACTATCCAGCTTATGTGAAGGAGGGTGGTGGTTTTTGGTTTTCTTTGTCTCACTTTATTTCATAGCTGATGATCACACTCAGGCCTTTGTGTACACTAAAGGTTTTTTTTTTTTTTTCTTCTCATGGTTACTGTGGCTTTTATTTTGTATGTAGAAACATTGGGGGTCTGACCTGTGGCCACCCTAGAGATTACACTGGAGTCACGAGGACTCCAGACACTAGCTGGGAAGTGAGGTGACAGGAACAATGATTTGGACCAATCACATGACTACAAAGCTGGGGTTTCCAGCAGGGCTCCAGGTAGTCAGGCATGACTTCTAAGGAAGTGGTGACATGGAAAGGACAAGCATTAGCTGGCCTTGATGACATCAGGGACAAGGAGGATGGAAGTAGCTGGTGGCTCCAGGGATCTGCAGCCCACACTTTACTGTTCCTGAAGGACCTGCCAGCAAAGTTGGTCTTGCTGCCCCGCTCTTCCTCAGTCTTAAGGAGCTGGTTATACTTGGCCAGGCGCTCAGATTGGCGAGAGGCACCCGTCTTCATCTGCCCAGGGCAGAGCCCCACCACCAGATCAGTGATAAAAGTGTCCTCCGTGTCCCCAGAGCGAAGGGACACCATGACACCCCAGCCACTGGACTGGGCCAGCTTACACGGCTGAAGAGATTTGGTCACAGAGCCGATCTGGTTCACTTTGAGCAGGAGGCCGTTGCAGGACTTCCCACCCACAGTCTTGGCCATGTGCTTAGGGCTGGTCACTGTGAGATCCCCCTCCCTGCCCGCCTGCAATAGCTGTGAAATTCTGCCACATTTCCCAGTCTTCCTGGTCAAAGGGGTCTTCGATGGACACCTGAAGATTCTTTATTTACTTTCTCTTCTTATTTGTTTTGAGGTAGGATCTTGTTACATGTAACTCAGCTTTCCTCAATCTTGCAATCGTCCTGTCTCAAATGCCAGGACTGCAGACATACAAGACCATGCTTGTCCTGTCTTTATCTGCTTTAAGTATGTTAAGTTGTAGATGGCACCCAGGAAGACTGGTAGTCATTTTTCATGGTGATAAGTTAGCACTGTGCCCATTAGAAAAATTTAGAAGAAATCACAGATTACAGTTAAGCTCCATATAGAAAAGAAATTACATAGTTGTATGTATTTTAATATATCTTATTAATACAGGATAATTCTATGCCTTTGAACAACTCATTACCTATTCCTTCCTGCTAATCGCTCCCGGGTCCACTTCGCACCCGAGCCTTTGTTTTCTATTGCATACTGTTACCTGCACGACTACAGCAGTGTGTTCATCAACTGTCACCACTACATAGAGCTCTGTACTTCCAAAGAGTTTCAGTGATGCGCAGCAGCACCTCTCCACTAGTGTGATGTCATAGCTGCAAAAGACAGATCTTCAGTGAAAACAGGCCATGGCCAAGGATGCGCGTCAGAGCGCCACGCTGTTCTCCTGAATACTGAGTTTTGTGAATTAGTTTCTGAACGTTAAATTATATGAATTGCTGTTTTCTTTCATAATTCAAGTTACTCTTTAAATTTTGGGAGGATTGGGAGAGAATGAGGGAGGGGGCTACGGCTGGGATAGAAAGCAAATAACCTGTGATTAATATAAAAAACAAATTAATTAAAAAGCGTATATACACTCAATTTATAATGCTATATTACACTAAACCTTTGTTTATTTCTGAAACCTAAAAAAATTTTTTGGGAGGAAAATTGTGATTTATTTAGTATATAAGAGAAACTAGAAACCTTTCTCCTCTCCTCTATACCTGCTCACTTGGAAAGGCTCTGGTGCATTTTCTACTGGCTTCTATCTTGAGTTGTGCTAATCTCTTTTTAAATCTTTATTTATTTATTAAGATTTATTTTTATTTCTCATGTATAAGAATACGTGTGTTCATTCAGAACTTCTTCGTCCTGTTTTCCATGTAGTTTTTAAGCAAAAATTCTCATTCTTAATATCATAAATGGCTCAAATACTTGAACATGTAATTCACAGAAAAATAACTCATAAAGATGTTTTTATGTACTGGTAACAAGAGAAATTTAAGTAAAATGTAAAATTAAATTTCATTTTGTTCATAAAACTAGTAAATATTATAAAAAGATATTATTTAATAGCTATAGGTTAGGGATTAAAAATATAAATTGATATACTCTTCAGAAAGCAGTTCTTATATATTCTAATCTTGGATCAGAAAGACGAGATATAACACATAAAGCACAACATTTCACTTACTGGAACAACACATGAAAGACCAACACCTAAAAGCAGTGGCTTACTTAGACTCCAGCAGCCGGAGTATTTCTGGAGTATTAAGAAGTCCTTCAGATGCAAAAAATACATATGGAATCAGAATTTCCAAGAGAAACCCACCAAATGGATCCAGCACGATGTTTCCTAAGCAAGAGAATTACAAATGCTTACTTTTTCTTCTGCCATACCTTTCTCTTTTTTATTAAACAGTAGTAATGCAGGTGCATGTTTAAGAAGTTACAGAAACACAATGTTTACTTTATAAGTAGCAATCGGAACAAAGAAAAGTATCTCTTTAAACAGGACAGTTCTACTCTAACGCAGAGTAGGATGCTGGCTTGTCTTACTCTTCAGAGCTGTGTCTGGAAGAATGACTTTAAAGGCCAGGAAAGGTATATTTAACTGTTGGCAGTGCTTGGACCAGCAAGAGTGTCCCACGTGGTTGTACTCCACAACCAGAGAGAAGCTGCTCCAGGGGAAATCTGCTCCGATACTGTGATTATGTACAATCACACAGGAACGTGTCCTGGAGACAAAAGCAGGCCAAGACAATAGAATTACACTGTGCCATCCCTTAGCTGGAGCAGTAAAAGATGGCTTCCTGTGCTCTCCTGACCTCTGCCTATTCAACTGGGAAAACACTGGCACATTTTCTACTCATTTTTTTCTGACTGTGTTAATCTCATTTTATCTTTCTTTTGTTGTTGTCTTGTTTTGTTTTTGTTTCTTGAGACAGAGTCTCTCTTATGTAGTCCTGGCTGTCTGGAACTTGCTATGTAAATTAGGCTGACCTCAAACTCAGAGCTCTGCCTGTCTCTGCCTCCAGAGTGCTGGGATTAATCTTTCTCTTTGATGATCATACTTAAAAAAAAAAACAAAAAACAAAAACTAGAACATATACTATTTCATATGCTCATATCCCAAATATAACTGATTTTATTTTCTGAGTACCATCAATAATAGATATCAACTTAAAAAAATCTGCCTCATCTCACCAAAGTCAAGTTTTAATTTTGAGAATCTGCATATGGGGGTATTTTCAGACAACTGCCAGAGGGAATTGTTTCTTCTCAATGGGCTTTATAAGCATTTACAAACCAAAAACAATGGACAGTAGTGTGAGTGTTGCCTTCTCATCATCTTCCTATAATAAAGACCTGCTGTCATCAAACCTGCTACTACTCCATTCTCTCCTGACAGTGTGGAACTTAAAAGTGTTTATGTCTAGCTTTTGTGAGCTTCTACTTCATATTTTTTAATTATTTGGATCCCAATATTAGAAATAATTTCTATGTGAAATAAAGCAAGATAAAGGCATTTAAAAACACAATGCTAGGTCTGTTATTAGCAGGCACTCCTGAGAAAGAAAGGAGGTGTGACAAGCCAAGAAACTGAAGAAAAACATGGTTGTTTTTAAAGGTTTGTCTTCCTTCCTTCCTTCCTTCCTTCCTTCCTTCCTTCCTTCCTTCCTTCCTTCCTTTCTTCCTTCCTTCCTTCCTTCTTTCCTCCCTGCTACCTGACAGAGTTTCTCTGTATAGCCCTGGCTGTCCTGGAATTGTTCTTTAGTTCAGGCTAGGCTTGAACTCAGAGATCCACCTGCCTTGACTCCCAGGTGCTGGGGTTAAAGGCATGTACCACCCACTGATGGTTGTAGTTCTATTTTAACAACAATGATGATAATTTTAGTATATTAAAATAAGATTGAACTAAACCCCTGGATGCTAATTATATTAAACATTCAAGGCTCTGTTGAGAGCTAAAGTGCTCTGTGTAAGGCAGTTTTCATGAGGAGAGTAAAGTTGTGGAGATCAGATTTTTCTTAACTGAACTCTGAGAACAATCACCTTTCTAGGTATTAGGGATCAAGCCTGACTCCTGGACTGTGATCTACATACAGCACAAACACCAGGAAGAATTCCCCCTTTCCTATGGACCTATACTTATATTAAAAAATACTTTACCCATTGAAAACACCAGTAGTTTCCAGAAAATCTTTTCTCTCATTTGAATGTAAAACAGTCATTGTTAAACCTGTTTGGGAAAAAAGGGAGTTTTCTTTCAACAAGATTTTTCTTTTTCAGTTTTGTTCATAATTTTTTTCTACCATCACAAATTTCACTCTCATTAAAATGAACTAAAAATCTGTAAACAAAAAAATTATGTGAAATATGATTTTCCAGATTATATTTCTAAGTCTAGTTTATCAGAAAGCTTAAAACGTAAGCAATATTTCCGGTATATATACACAGAGATCATGTCAATTTAAAATTTTTATGCCACACAAAAGTGGTCAAATATTTAATTTAAAAATAGCCATATGAAACACTCACTAGTTGTGAATTTAATCCTATTTTGCCACAAATCATAGGAGACTATCTTTTTCTCTAGCCAAAAATGTAAGCATGTAACAAAATCAACAAGGGTGTGTGTTTCAATGTGGTATGTGAACATGCGTGTGTATGCATTTGCTGACTCTCTATAAAAACCAGATCTAATGTGTACCAGTCAGTCATAATTTTAATTAATTAAGCAATTTAACAATCAATCAATCAATCAATTAATTTTGTTTTTTTGAGACAGGGTTTCTCTGTCTTGACAGCCTTGGCTGTCCTAGACTCACTTTGTAGACCAGGCTGGCCTCGAACTCACAGAGATCCGCCTGCCATTGCCTCCCTGAGTGCTGGGATTACAGGTATGTGCCACCATGCCCAGCTCATAATTTTTAATTTTAATTTCTTACTAGTGTTTATAAACAAAATATAAATTTCAAACACTGAATCCTTACATTAGTTGGCATAATTAACATATAGAATATAAAGAAAAATTAAACCAAGTCTAAATTAGTTCTGTAATCTGTTCTTCTGTCAGTTGTAAATTCCCAGCTATGCAATAATGTCACAGCAATGGTAAGCATGATGTATAATAGTTCTTGAAAACACAAGCTTTGGTAGCAGTAAGGATGAGTACTATTTTCTTATTTAGTTCATAAGGTGGTTCATCTAAAGTCTAATTAAGCTTGATCCCGAAAACAAGTTCATGACATGATAGTGCCTTTCTAGATCTTTAAACATGTGGAAAATAAAACCAGATTTTTTTTTTTCCTATCATAAGCTAGAAAAAAGACCTAGTTAGCTCCCGGCTGAGGATAGTTGTCAGTCTGAAAGACTCAAGACATTTCCAGTTTGTATAGTAAAGCCTGTTTTATATCATTTATTTCTTTTATGTGCACTGATTGGTGTTTGCCTGCATGTCTGTCTGTGTATGGGTGCTGGATTCCCTGGAACTAGAGTTACAGACAGTTGTGAGCTGCCATGTGTGTGCTGACAATAAACTGAAGGGCGGCCAGTGCTCTTAACCGCTGGCTACCCCTCCAGCCCCATATTCAAGGTTTTTATGTTAGCAGACAATGCTGAAATGAACACAAGTACCAAAAGCAACTAGGAGGTCAGCCTAAAGCCCAGATAAGGGCTGTGACCGTCATCATCTTAAATTGCATTGAAGGAGGAGGTGTTTCAGGAAGCGGTCTAGGTGTCTTTCCTTTGTACAGGGACTTCCTCACCTCCACAGCCCATGCTAATGTTACGCAGCACTTGCCTGACTTATTATTTAGTGTGTATGTGTAGACCAGAAGACAACTGTCAGGAGCTGGTTCTCTCCTTCCATCATGTAGGTAGGAGTAAATTCACCCACACACATACACACACGGAAAGAAAAATATGAGAGGGCTATAGAGGGAGCAAAGACTTGAGGGAGAAAGTTGCATTTCAGTTTGAGTACAAGAGAGACTGCATGTAAGCAGTGGTTCCAAAGCTCCAGGAGAAAGGGCTGACAGAGGAGTTCTCAGTGGGCAGAGCTGGAGCATACACTGAACTGAGAACACTGGGTTAGAGTCTAACTCAGTTACTGCCTATAAGATCTATGCTACATAACCTTTATGAAGTTTTTCTTTGCTTATAAAACTGAGTTGTAAGCAAGCAGCATCAATGTAGCAACTAGGAAGCAGTCTACAAAACACATCGATTCTTAATAAAAATACATATAAGTACATTATAGATATATAGATATAAGTACAGTATTGTCCACATTGATTTAAAAATCGTCCATTAAATACTAATGAAAGTTTGAGCAACTGTAGAATCAAACCATTGGAAAAAGCCCACTGAGTCCTAGATTTTGAGAAGACAAATTTATAATATTTTAATGTCAATGCCAGTTAGGTGAATACATTTCTGTAACAAAACATTTACTAAATAAAGCATAAGTTAAATGCCCCTACCTTCTATTTTCTTAAGGGTTTTAACAAGCAAATGCTTTTCTCCATCTGAGTCCATTCTTATTATCACCAGTACCTAGTCAAAAATAAGAATTCCATATATATTGATGAATTATTATTCTTCGCTTATGTTTTTATGTGTGTGTGTGTGTATGTGTGTGTGTGTGTGTGATGCTAGAGATTAAACCTAGTGCTCTGCACTGGAGTGTATCCCCAGATGGATTGTTCTTTTTCACAGTTTTGCTACAGTGATAAAACTAATTTAAAAGCAAATTTAATGGGTCGGATAAAAATAATGGCAATGAGGGTAGAGATGCCAGGTGGTAGCCTGTGATCCCAGCATTCGGGATGCTTGGGCAGGAGAAGCTGGAGGTCAAGGGCAGCCTCTACTGAAAGACAAGAGAACCTTGTCTTAAAAGCAAAAAGAGAACACCCAGGTTACAAAGTAAACAATCTGTTCTAAATTCTGGTAACATCAATGTCAATGAGGGAAGTGTTCTGAGGCAGTTTTAGCATTTCTGTCTACAACATCTGTGCACAAACCGTCTCAGCCTGTTTTGTTTTTGTTAATTCCAACCCCCATAAGTCTGACATCATAGGCAAAAGGCAGTAACTGCTGCATTCTCCTACTCATCATGCAGTTTCTTTTCTGGAAAGGAGCAGTCAATCAGGCTCAGTGGTAAATTTCTCACTTATTAATTTAATGACATATGAAAGTCATTCAAGAAACTATAAGTTGAGGATAAGAGAGTTACAGCATGGAAAAGAAGAATGCCTGTATAAGTTTATGTTCAGATCTGGTGTGACCACTTGTAATGGCTTTCTGCTAGATTAGTTTAAAGGGGTTCTTTGCCTTAAAACTTTATTAATTCAGCTTTCATATAATGATGTAAGGTGGGTGAGAAAATAATTTCTAATACAAGCCAAGACAGAGTATTTTTTACATTATTGTGTCAGATGAGATTTTGGTTCACTACCCGAAAAAATAAATTATTGCAGTTGTAGTATGATGCAAATCTCCATGCTCTTATTCAAATCCCGGGTGTGGAGAACCAACCCAAGCACCGGCTTACAACAGAAATTAAAGCATTTAAATTTGAAGGCAGTGAGTAATGACACAACTCCCCCTTTCTCTGGGCCTGAGACTGTTATCTTACTTAAAGACAAAACTGTCAAAGGCCAAACTTAGCCTATTTTATAACCTCCAAGTTAAATGCATAAAGTCACATTACACCCCCTTCTTTAAACAATTACTTTATCTGTTCTATCCCATACTCAACCTTTATTTGTTGTTGATTCTGCAACCTGCTTAGTATCTGACACTGTAATTCTTGGATCTTATAGTTGGTTTTAGGCCTTTTTTTCTTTATAAACTGTAAAATTTTCAGCTGTCTCCAAATGTTATCCAAATAGGAGTCTAACATGCTTTTGTAGATATCTTTTGCATTCGACAAATATCCTGTTAAAGAAAAATATTAAGTCTTTTAATGTTTTTGAGTATAATTCCATGGCAAAAACCACTAAGAAAAAAATCTTTTTGTGTTTTGGTTTTTGAGACAGGGTCTCACTATGTAGCTCTGACTGTCCTGGAGCTCCCTATATAAACCAGGCTGGACTCAAATTCATAGAGATCCTCCTGCCTTTGCCTCTGCCTGCTTAATGCTGGGATTAAACGCAGGCACCACCATGCTTGGCTAGGAAATAAATCTTAACTATCAGTTAATAGATCTAGAGAAATGCCTCAGTGGTTAAAAGCACTGGCTGCTCTTCCAGAGGACTGGGGTTTAGTTCCCAGCACCTACATGACAGATAACAACTGTCTGTAACTTTAGTTCTAGAAGATCTGATGCCCTCTTCTGGTCTCTACAGGCAATGCAAAACACCCAAACAGGAAAAAACAACAAAATAAACAAAATATAAACAAAAAATGATTAACATTTCATTTAGTCCTATTCTGATTTAATAAAATATATTGATGTTTTAATTTAAATGTATATCCAATACATATGGTTACAGTAAACACTATTACAAACTGTACATGCGTATAGAATATTTTGTGACATTTTGCTACATGTGCATGCTGGGTATATTCTTTTTTTTTTTGAGGCAGGGTACCAGTGTGTGGCCTGGAATTTGTCATGTAGACCATGCTTGTCTCAAATTCACAGAGATTCACCCGCCTTTGCCTCTCAAATACTCAGATTAACCAGTATAATACAGTTTATATCAGGTTAAACATGTTCCTCTTCAAACATACAATGTCTTTAAAATTGAGTGAAGCTAAAAACCAATATCATATGTCTCTTTTTAAGTTACATAACATTAATTTACTTGTACATATCTCTATACTTTGAATATATCCTATTCTCACTTACTTCCTGCTTATTGACTATTAATTCACTCTTCCTGTAAACCTATGAACCTTCACTTACATGGAATTCCTTTTGAAATATTGCCACATTGGAGTTTCCTTCGTATTTAACTTATGCAACTTTGTACTTAAATTTTGTTTTTTTATAAATGTACATGGCAACCTCGTTAGAATATAAACTCAGGGTAAAAAATGGTATTTATTAATAATTAATTTGTGCATCTGCTAAAACATTGAGGTCTAAATCATGCACATGAGCAGGGAAGACTGTTCTGCAGGATGGTCTCAAATTCCAGGACTCCTGTTAGCTTCCCCCAAAGCCAGCATGTAAAACCTGCATCCTGAGTTGTACAATTAAAGGTGTGAACCATCATGTCCAGCAAAGATGTATCTATTTTTTACTTGTATGTATGTGTGTGCGTGTATTTGTACCATGTGAAGGTTACAGGTTACCTAGAACCTGGAGTGAAGGTTCCAGGTTACCTGAACCATGTGACAAGACAGTGTTGATCAGTGTAATATGAGAGAAAGCTACATAATTTTTTTTTGAGACAGGGTTTTTCTGACAGCCTTGACTGATGTGGACTCACTTTGTAACCAGGCTGGCCTCTAACTCACAGAGTTCTGCCTTCCTCTGCCTCTCCCAGCTACACAATTTATGAAGAGCTATTATCTTTTTCGGAAAAGTAAGTTATTCCAGATGGAATATTCAATAAGAAAAAAAGCAAGAAATAAAAATTTCTCTACCAACCTAATGCTGTATCCAAGCTGCACGTTAAAAGGGCATCTCTAATTGTTACCAGGAGATGTAAGAGAGCAGCATACTTGAATGTCATTTCTCTGCCATCATTTTTACCTATACAAGCAAAAGCATAATTAACACATTAGAGTTTTAGAATATGTATCAGATTTGTTCAACAATAACAGCTAACATCTAGAGAGTGCTTACTATTGCTAGGCTGTGTATAAGCAGGTTACTTCATGGACTCTAACAATCTTCTCAGGATTACTGTGGTCCTCATTTATAGAAGAGGACACAGCTTTAGTGATGAGAAGTGATGCTCAAGATAGCAATAACTCAGACAGCTAACTGAAGAGCTCATCCCCTAATGTAGGGAATATTAAATTAAGTTTACTTTTGCAGGAAAAAAAAACCTCTAACCAAGAGGAAAATTAAATTAGTAACTAACTTGTAAAATATATATATTTTTTTGAGCAGGGTTTTTCTGTAGTGTATCCTTGGCTGTCTTGGACTCACTTTGAAGACCAGGTTGGCCTCAAAATCACAGAGATACACCTGCCTCTGTCTCCTGAGTGCTGGGATTTTAAAGGTGTGTCACCTCCATACCTGGTGTAACTTGCCAATTTTTTAAAAAAATATTTATTATGTATACAATGTTATGTTTGCATGTACACCTGCACGCCAGAAGGGGGCACCAGATTTCATTATAGGGCAACCATGTGGTTGCTGGGAATTGAACTCATAACCTCTGAGCAGCCAGTGCTCTTAACCTCTGAGCCATCTCTCCAGCGTGCCAATTTTTAAAGCTAGAACTAGACATTTGTAAATGAAGAAATACTTTGAAATGGAGATAGTATCTGAAAATGTTAGCTCAGCTCAGAGATTAAGACTCACACGAAAGAGTTATTCACAGGAACAAGCCAATTGCCTACTTGACGTGTTCTATGCACTTCCAGAACTCTGGACTCTTGTGCATGTGCAAGTGTGTGATGAGGAGAAGGCACGCATATGCTGTACATATGTGCGGAGGTCAGAAGACAACTTACAAGAGTCTGTCTCTCCTTCTACCATGTGGGTTCAAACTCTGGCCATCAGGCTTGGCAGCAAGTGCCTTTATCTGCTAGGCCACCTTGCTGGTCCTATTTTACTTTATTTTTGTTGTTATTGTTTTGTTACAGGGTCTTACTATGTAACCTTGGATGGTCTCAAATGGAGAGATTCCCCTGCATCTGCATCCTGAGTTGTACAATTAAAGGTGTGAACCATCATGTCCAGCAAAGATGTATCTATTTTTTACTTGTGTGTGTGTGTGTGTCTGTACCACGTGAAGGTTACAGGTTACCTAGAAGCTGGAGTTTCAGGAGTATGAACCAGCATGTGATAAGTGAACCGAGGTCCTCTGTGAGAGGAGGAAATAGTCTCAACACAGCTGAGCTGTCTCTCTAGCCCACCTATTTTATTTTTTGAAGAAGCTGCAAAATTTTAATATGTATAATTTATGAACTGAGAAAGCTGACTTTCCTAGCACACGAGGTCCAGATAACATGTAGCAAGCGCAGCGCACTGGTTCACCTCTAAGCACAAGACAGAGTACATGGCACGCCGCCCAGCACTCAAAAACAAATGGGACAGGCACACTGAAGAAGACGGCCACTCAACGCACGGCAAAGTTCTATTAGTGGGTCCTGGCCCGAACTACAGGCAGCTACGAACTGCAAAGTGCATGCCACGGCAGGGACAGAAATAACTCAAAGGGAAGTTCTCAGTCCATGGTCTGAGCAGTGGGAAAGGGGGCTCATATGAATAAAGAGTAGCCTTGTCTTAACATTTTTTTCCTGTTCTCTCCTTTCCCAGAACCACAATGTTGGAGGTCAGCAAGGAAAATAGTAATTACTAGAAATGGCTATCTGTCAGGTGCCTAACACCCTTCTGAACACGCAGAAAACAGTTATAGTGAGCTTCAGCAAATTCTGAAAACTCTAGTATCTTTGATTTAGGTTTGCAGATTATTCTCATTATGGATTGTATTTCCTGTCTCTTTGTATGTCTGGTAATATGACTTTACACTAGAGATCAGTTTTATGTTATTGGGTGCTGGGTATTTTTGTGTTTGTATATATCTTATGTTTCATTGTAGGATGCAGTGAAGTTCACTGGAAATAGTTTATCCTTTGGATCTTGCTTTCACAATTTTGTTTGGGCAGGGCCAGAGCAGGGCCAAGCACTGGCTCCAGTGTGAATGGTTACAAGGTTAACTTTGTTTTTTGCAATGGGGATCTATTAAATAACACAGGCCAATTAGGAGATTCACTGAGAATCTTCTGGGCTTGGCCTAGATACAGGTACTACATGCTAAATTACAGTTACGGTTTCTTCTGGGTCTGAGGTCTGCATTGCTATAGTTATCTACTAGTATATATCCTTTGGGTAGCATTTGAATCTGATTTGTACTCACCTTGGTGAATAGCATCATTTATTATTTTTTCTTGTTCCTTTAGGAAGAATCTTGTTTGGTCAAAAATGACAGTGGCAAATTTCCAATTAGCAGCAGGGTAAGTACAGAGGCAAGCAAGCTTTTCCAAGACAGGAGTGGCTGCCGCTTCCAGGAGACTGTATGCTTGGCACTGGGTGTCTGGGAAATAACAGCACTGAAATCAATGCTTGCAAAAGGAACGGTGTGCTGCTTTTGACACCCTTACATCATCCTGAGGGTGAGAGAGCAGAGAGAGTTCTCACTATAACCGTTCCTCACTGTAACTCACTATAACTGTTTTCTGCGTGTTCAGAAGGGTGTTAGGCACCTGACAGACAGCCTTTTCCAGTAATTACTGTTGTCATTGCAGACTTCTAACACTGTGGTTCTGGGAAAGGAGAGAACAGGAGAGATCACTAATAACACATTTCCCAAACACGGACGAAGAGACTGAGGACTCCTGCAGTTCACTCTTTTTACATGAGTGTAGGGAAATGGCTTCAGTTTTTTGTTTGTTTACTTGTTTACTTTCCGAAGCAGGATTTCTCTGTGTAGCCTTGGCTGTCCTGGACTCACTTTGTAGACCAGACTGGACTCTAACTCATAGAGATCCGCCTGCCTCTGCCTCTCAGGCACTGGGATTAAAGGCATGTGCCACCACACCTGGCATGGTTTCAGTTTTACTGAAGACAGAAATAACAATTAGGCTGGAGCAAGGCAATGGGAAAAAGACAGGGGCAGCGTACATGGCGCTCCAAGTATGGAAGTAATTTGATGGTAGAAACGGAATTAAGAAGTTTCTGAGGGCTGGAGAGATGGCTCAGTGGTTAAGAGTACTGTCTGTCCTTCCTAAAGGACCCTGGTTCAATTCCCAGCACTTACATGGCAGCTCACAACTGTCTATACTGCCAATTCCGAGGGATCTGACACCTTCAGACTAATGCACGTAAAATAAAATTAGATAAATTATTTTTTTAAAAAAAGAAGTTTCTGAAACAAGTAAAAACAATTACTCAGAAAATAAGGTATGTTCTAGAAATCTGGGAGAGGACTTCTGAATCAAGTAGAAAAGAAAGCATCCTGCATACCTGATGCTTGAATCTCGATAACATCATCTGCTCTTTCCTCTGGAGCTTTATTATTAGAAACAACAGGACTTTCTTCTTGAAGAGTCAAAGAACATTTTTCTTTATCTTTTTCTTTTTCTTTATCTTGAATTTCTAGCAAAAACATCAAATTGTTCAGGAGAAATGATGTTTTATTTTAATACTGTATTCAAAATTGTAGTTGTTAAATATCTTAACACACTGAGATTAAGTTAAATGAATTATCCAGATCAGTGGACCTAACACTGTGCTGAGCAGCGAGGAGGATGACAGAGATGGAATAAACTCTGGCATCCGGTCAGAATCTCCTGCAGCTCCAACGGCAGCCCTAGCTCCCTCACATGTGACCTATGGCCGAGGATGCCTACCTTCAATACAGAGACCAAACACCAGTCCCAGCTCCTGACACATGAAAGACGACAGCATTCTACCTCACCCCTTCCAGAGTTTTCTGTCTATTTCCACCTTTCTTCTTTGTTCCAAGCCTTCTAATGTTCCTATTTTTTTTTCCGGGTATACTAACTTTTACTCCTCAATCTTCAATTCACTCATTTTCTACAGGAAGTGTTATGTAACTACCTACCTTGCTTCCAGGCCAAAAAAAAAAAAAAAAAAAAAAATCCCTCCTTTAATATGCAATTTAGTACCTGATACAGTGTTTAAATAAATGTTGGATTTTTTCTTTTCTAGGTATTATAGAAAATTTATATATGCATAGAGACAGCTATTTTTAACTAAATACTAATGTCACCCACCAATAATATGATTATAAGACACTTCTATGTGAGGTTAAAAGTATGATAATAGAATGGGACATGGTGATTTTTTTGCCTATAATCCCAGCACTTGGAAGGCTAAGGCAGGAGGATCACAAATTCAAGGCCAGGCAGGCTTGATTTGAGAGACAAGTGGGCTTGGTAACAATACCCAAGTGAGACAGCAACCCCACTCAGTCCTCCTCTAAGCTCAACCGGAGACTCTCAGCAGGAAGGAGCCAAGACATTAGAGGCTGGGAATACTTCTCTCTGTGGGGAAGATCGTTCCCGTAAGTGTATACCCATTTCCCCAGATTTACAACCTAGACACTTCTTTCTACACCCTACAGATAAAGAGGCCAGGAGCATCACACAAACAGAGAAGCTATAGGAGTGCAGAGGCATTCCCCCCTTTTAAAATATTTATTTATTATGCATACAATGTTCTGTCTGCATGTACACCTGTGTGCCAGAAAAGGGCACCAGATCTAGATGGTTGTGAGCCACCATGTGGCTGCTGGGAATTGAACTCAGGACCTCTGGGAGAGCAGCTAGTGCTCTTAACCTCTGAGCCACCTCTCCAGCCTGGCATTCCCTTTTAAATCAATTTTTTTAACAAGAAATTTTTTTTCTCTCTCTCAACATTCTTTTTAAAATTAATTAATTAATTAAAGTTTATTTACTTTGTATCACAGCTATAGCCACCTCCCTCATCCCCTGCCAATCCCACCATCCCTCTCTCTTCTCCCATGCCCCTCCCCCAGTCCACTGATAGGGGAGGTCCTCCTCCCCTTCCATCTGACCCTAGTCTATCAGGTCTCATCAGGACTGGCTGCATTGTATTCCTCTGTGGCCTGGTAAGGCTATCCACCCCCCAACTCCCAGGCAGAGGTGATCAAAGAGCCAGCCACTGAGTTCATGTCAGAGATAGTCCCTGTTCCCATTATTAGGGAGCTCTCTTGGACACTGAGCTGCCATGGGCTATATCTGTGCAGGGGTTCTAGGTTATCTCCATGCATTGTCCTTGTTTGGAGTATCAGTCTCAGAAAAGATCCCTATGCCCACATTTTTTGGTTCTGTTGCTCTCCTTGTGGAGCTCCTGTTCCTTCTAGGTCTTTCTATCTCCCCCTTCTTTCATAAGATTCCTTTTACTCTGCCCAAAGTTTGGCTATGAGTCCCAGCATCTGCTTTGATACCCTGCTGAGGCCCTCTGTGGTAGGCTCCTGTCCTGTTTCCTGTTTTGTCCCTCTTCTGATGTTAATCCAGTTTGCCTTTTTGAATGAAGATTGAACATTTTACCCAGAGTCCACCTTCTTGATTAGCTTCTTTAGGTGTACAGATTTTAGTATGATTATCCTATATTATATGTCTAATATCCACTTTGGGACCTCATGAAACTGAAAAGCTTCTATAAAGCAAAGGACACTGTCCTCAGAACAAAATGACAGCCTATAGATTGGGAAAGGATCTTCACCAACCCTACATCTGATAGAGGGCTAATATCCAGAATATATAAAGAACTCAAGAGGTTAAACAGCAACAAATCAAGTAATCCAATTAAAAAAGGGGGTACAGAGCTAAACAGAGAATTCTCAATAGAGGAATGTTGAATGGCAGAGAAATACTTAAAGAAATGCTCAACATCCTTAGCTATCAGGAAAATGCAAATCAAAATGACCCTGAGATTTCACCTTACACCCATCAGAATGACTAAGATCAACTCAAGTGAGAACACATGCTGGAGAGCATATGGAGAAAGGGAAACCCGCCTTCATTGCTGATGGGAATGTAAATTTGTACAACCACTTTGGAAATCAATCTGATGCTTTCTCAGACAATTAGGAATCGTGCTTCCTCAAGATCCAGCTATACCACTCCTGGGCATATATCCAAGAGATGCTCAAGTACACAACAAGGACATTTGCTCAACCATGTGTGTAGCAGCGTTATTTGTAATAGCCAGAAGCTAGAAACAAGCCAGATGTCCATCAACGGAGGAATGGATACAGAAATTGTGGTACCTTTACACAATGGAGTACTACTCAGCAATTAAAAACAAGGAAATCATGAAATTTGTAGGCAAATGGTGGGAACTAGAAAAGATCGTCCTGAATGAGGTATCCCAGAAGCAGAAAGACACACATGGTATATAGTCACTCCTAAGTGGATATTAGACATCTCATATAGGATAAACATACTAAAATCTCTCAATATTCTTGCTGTGGCTCCTTGTTTTATGATGCTGACATGTACGTTATAAGCTACTCTCACAAGTGTAACAAGCAGAAGAGAGTGCCAGTGTTAACACAGGATCGCTTCTCAACCCAAATAGGTACAATTTAGAAACAAATCTAAGATTAACAAATTTTCTTTTCCTCATGCGTGCGTGCGTGTGTGTGTGCGTGTGTGTGTGCGTGCTCTCGTGCTGTCCTGTGTGTGCAGGTTGTGTGCACAAGTGCATGCACAGAAGACAACCTCTGTTGCTGTCCTTTGGCTGCTGTTTACTTTTTTTGAGACCGGCCTGGGGTTGGCCATGCAGGTCAGTCTGGCTGGCCAGCACATCCCAGGCACGCTCCTGTCCCACCCTCTTAGTACGGGGATTACAAGTGCAGGCCACCACACCCAGCTTTCTCTCAACACGGTTCTGGGGTCCTCGTGCTTTTAGGGCAAGCTGACTGACCAAACTCCCCAGCCCCTTCTTTGCATCTTTTGCACAGGGTATGTTTGAATTGTGGGGAAAATATTGGTTAGAGTGATCACAGCTGCATACAGAACTGTCACCTGGCAAAACTATCAGGAAACTACGGTGAATACATAGGTGCATAACCCATCACAGAGTTCTAAAATCGTTGAATCCTACTCTGAAATTTCACCACTGTGAAATTCTCACTGTGGACATGTCCTAAAGCAGTAATGAGCTTCAGCATATCTATAAACGGTTGTCTCACCTTTTGGAGAATTATACATAACTGCTTTGACACCGAGAACCCAATCTTGTCTCCGCAGATAGAACATGGGATTGCAAGATCAAATTATGCTCTAAGTAACACAAACACTTCTTGTGTCAATTTCACCAAGATAAAGTCTATCAAAAGTATTCTAGAATGTACCAGGTGGTGGCACACAACTTTAATCCAAGCACTTGGAGGCAGAGGCAGGAGGATCTCTGTGAGTCTGAGGCCAGCCTGGTCTACAGAGTGAGTTCCTGGACAGCCAGAGCTACATAGTGAGATCCTGTGTGAAAATAGAAAATTATTCTAGAGTTATTTTTTTTAAAGCAGAGTGAAATTATATGACACACTGTACTACTCCTGAGGTGGTTAGAAGCAGGAAATATATGACAATTGAAAATGGAAACTCTTTGATAATAGTATAAAATATAAACAATTAAATAAGAAAATGTGTGCATACATATGAAATAGTAAAACACTAGATAACCCCCAGCTAAGGGACCACTGGTGACTGACAGCTGCTGGGACAGGGGCTGTGAGTCTCCTCTAAGAGAACAGCCCCTGAGAGGTCTAACTGCCCCAACGGGCAGCTACAACCTAAGGAGGACATGGGTAGCACTAACGAGATTTGATTTTTTTTGTTTTAAAGAAAAGGCGAAGAGATGGCTCAGAGGCTAAGGGTGCTTACTGCTCTTGCAGAGGACCCAGGTTCAGTTGGCAGCACCCAAATGGTAGCTCAAAATCGTCTGTAATTCCAATTCCAGGTGGCCTGACATCCTCTGCTAGCTTCCATTGGCTTTAGGCACGTGCACCGTGCACATGCATACATGCAAGCAAAATACTCACATAAAATAACATAATCTTTAAAAAATGAGGACATAAAGTTGGGTAGGTATGAATTAGAGGGTGGATCTGAGAGGAGATGGGGGAAATGATGTTAAAAATGTTTTGAATCTTGAACTAATAAAACTGTATTTAAAAACATTGAGCTAGTACTGTAAGACAATAGAAAAAAAATGATGAAGTTAGGAATACTATGTTTATATATCCAAGTTACAGAAAGCACATTTTATAAATAACAGTTTTTCTACAAATTAAAATGTGCCTTTTAATCTTTGAAAGACTATTTATATCCATATCTAAATGTATATTCATGTATCAGTCTCTATCTCCATTTATAAGAAGTATCAATGGCATTTTCCTTGACTATGAGATACAATACAATTTCTCTAAAAGAGCCTTCATTTTCTTTCATTGTATAATAGACAGTGCCCAGTCCTACAGGCCACATGTCTATGCCAAAATTTTACTGAGTTACCCACCATTGTTTTGGTCATGGCCTGTGACTTCCTCGTCTGAAGTCAAAGTCCTGTGTTTAGTTCTCAGAATTATAAACTCACTCAAGAGATCCAAATCACCCCGTTTCTTATCGTAAGATGGCTTGATTTGTGAGGAGGAAGATAATTCAACAGATGGCATGGGCTTGCCAAGGCCAACACAAGTGCTGCCAGTCTTCTGCAGCAGTCCAGCAGCCAGTTCTTGGTCACTCTTTGGATTTTCTTCTTTTTCGGTTTTACTGACGGTGACACATTCACCAGACAAACAAAGATGCGGCACTTCCTTTTCTGAAGATGGTCTCTTCTGTGGATGTAATGTGTGAACATTTGCAGACTTCTCACTGATGGGCACAGTGGGCGAGAGACAACGCCTATGTTCTAGCCAGGCTGGAAACAAGAAAATAAAAGGCACCAAAATGACTTCCATGTCTAAATGATAACTTTTAGTTAGGCTGTAAGTTCCTGTTAACATAATTATGTCTTTAGGGTCCTTAGAGGTAGTTTATTTACTGTTTGGAAAATCCATTTTTGAGTCTAAATAAAATAAGCTTTTAAAAGAATAAAAGTTACAGGGTTTGGATGTGCATGACTTTAATCCCAGCACTCAGGGAGGCAGAAGCAAGCTGATCTCTGTAAGTTCCAGGCCAGCCTGGTCTACATAGTAAGTCCAAGACAGCCAAACCTACACAGATCCTGTCTGAAAAAAACAAAACAAAACAAAACAAAACACAAAATAAAACAAAAGTTTACTTTCTTCTCTCCCTCTTTCTGAGACAGGGTCTCTGTGTAACAGCTCTGGAAGCCTCTTTTTAGACCAGGCTGGCCCCTCCTAAAGACAGACACAACCTGCTCAATCCATATTATTTTACTTCTCTATCTATGATTCATGGGTGACCACTTGGTACCCTAGAACCAATTCGGGGGAGGGAGCTCTTCCCTGAGGAAGACTGTTTCTCCTGCTGTCAGCATTCCTTAGTTCCTTGAGCTCTGTGTGTAGGGTTGAGGCCCTGGGAGCTTCCCCCCTTCCGTGTAGGCATGCTGTTGGTGTCATCTTTTTTCAGGTCTTGCTTAATCAGCCATATTGATGATACTTCATGGACAGTTTTCCTCAGGTTTCTTAGAGACACAGTCTCACAGCAAACTTCTTGCTCTTTTGGCTCTTACAATCTTTCTGCCATATCCCGTCCTCTTCCGCTGTGATCCCCGAGCCCATTGGTCAGTACTGGGCACCATACAGTCACTTGCTCTCTGCACTCTGATCATTGTTTTGTGTCGGTCAAGAAGACTTTCTTTGATGAGGGGCTAATCTTTGAACACTCTATTGCACCATGAGTCCGTCTAAGCCTGGGATGGACTCATGTGGCTGCTGAGGTCTTCCTCCCAGAAGAGCTCTGCACTCTTCCAGTTTCCCGAGTGATGGTAACACCTAAGGCTCACTTTAAAGGTATTTTCTATAACAAACTACTTTCCTCAAACTATGTTTCTCAGACTTTTTACATCTGAAACTTACTACTTACTGTAGAAAATAATTTTTGAAAGTATGCACACACATTTATTATTAAAATGGCTAAAAATTTAAAAGACTGTAGAATTTTAGGCAGAATAGGACTTTAGGTTTAGCTAATTAAGTTGCCATATTTTTTTCTGAGAAGAATGTAGAGCCTAGGAAGGTCAAAAGTCATAAACTGGCAGAACCAAGGCATGAGAATGTTAAGCCTTAGTTAATATTTTCCTAATCATTGAGGAGAAACCTGGTGTCAGACAGCTCCTGTGAAATGGTCACACAAGCTGACTTACTGTTCTATACTTACATTCCAGCTGAAATACTTTTGTAGGCAGGAAAATCTCCAGCTTAGTCTCCGTAGAGGACAGACCATGATGACACAAATATGTCTTCAGATGCTCCAAAGTTTCAGCCATTATTGGATTTAGTCTTGCTTGTCTCCACCCCTTGGCTTTTGCAGAGCTAATCACAAGGCTGTCTTCTTTGATAGAAAAGATATTCCTCATATCTGCAAGTGAATACTGACTGCAGGGCTCCTGAAATCTTGGAACTTGAGAACATACAAACACAGAAAAAAAGTGAATGAAAAACAATAAACAAACATACTGGATGTTCACAATAAAATGTATTTTCACACATTAGGAAAAGGTGAAATTTGAAATTACATCTGGTATATAATTTTCAAAATGTTAGCATTCATATAAGTCCACATAATCACACAAATAATTTCTTCTTTTGTTTTTGAGACAGTTTCATAAAGCACAGCTGCTCTTGAACTTTCAACGTGGTTGAGAATGACTCTGACCTAATGATCCTTCTCTGCCTCCACCTCCAGCGCCCTGGCACTTACAGGTGAGTGTTAACATGCCCAGCTCATACAGTGCTGGGGTCTGAACCCAGCTCTATCAACTAACGTAAATCCCCAGCCCTCAAATAATTTATTCAGTCTTTGGAAATATCAAGAAGTTAAAAATCAGTCCATATTTAGTAACAAAAGAAACTATATTCTGATTGTTTAATAATTACTAAACTAATATACTTGATATGCTTTAGAAGAACAGAAGATTTATTAAGTCTCAAATTCTAACTCATTATAGTGAACCTTAATAAGACATCTTCAGATTTTAGGGTGAATGTCATCTTAGACATTGTGGTACAGACCTTATTATGTCAGGACTTTTAGCCTAAATAGGTGAAATCACAACATACAGAAGAAATGGACTGGCACAATTACTTCATAATACTGCCTGTGTTATAAGCATCCACCCCAAATTAAAATTATAAAATTTGAAATTGTAACTTTGGAATGATGCATTTTTTACAATACTAATAGTAACTTAAAACAGATAAGTACCAGTGTTAATATTAGCAATTACCAAAAACATGACATTTTACTATTTTCCATGCATCATTTCTAAGTAATCCATGGAAGAATCCTATGAAGTAGATATTATTTTAGTAGTTTTATTGACTTATGACCAGTAAGCAAAGAAATAAATGTTTTTAGAAGAAAAAAAATGGATCATTGATTCATTATCACAGACAAGAAAATGAGTATCTCTGCCCAGAGGCAGGAGGCTTAACAGCTCAAGGTTATTTATTCTGAGCTGCATAGCCCAGACTATATGAGCCATTGTCTTTTGAAAAACCAAAGAAAAACTATTTGTGTGATTTCTATTTTTATGGCTAACATGGACTTTCACATTATTATAACTTTTTTTTTGAGACAGAGTCTCTCTCTAGCCCTAGCTGTCTGTCCTGGAACTTGCTGTGTAGACCAGGCTGGCCTCAAACTCAATGTCTCCTGCCCTTGCCTCCCAAGTGCTGGGATTAAAGACACCACCACCATCCAGCTTGTATATGTCTTTGTATAGACACACATTTTTAGAAAACACACAACATCTGCATTGTTATTCTCATTGGATACGGAGAGAGTCTTGGAGGGGTTTATTCAACTAAAAATTATTTTATTAAATTGTAAATGGATTTTGTTAAAGGTGTTAAAGCATTCTTGAAAAGCTTTAAAAATGGAAAACTTTTATATTACTTTTCACATTAGCTGTATAGTCAGTCTAAGAACTACAATGTATTTACATAGATACACATGTAAATGTATTGTGAGATTGTCTGCTTTTCTTTAGTTCATAGATAAGAGTTATGGGAAAATCAGCAAGGCTGAGACTTTTATCTAATGAGCCTCTAGAAGATAACTGGACTTTGTGTCATGTCACATATTTCATGTTATGATACAATTAAAGACAATATCTCAGATTTGTGCTCTTTGATTCTATTTGCCTTTCAGTAGCGAGCAGTCTGTACCTGTAAGCAAGAACGAGACCCAGGAGTTTCTGCAGCTTCCCAGTTGCCACAGCATACAATATTTATTAGCTGATTCTCCAGCACTAAGCAAATTGCTGTCAAAGAAAAATCAAAGATTATTTACTAATATTGGCTAGTAAATATTTACTAATATTTACTAGTATTGGCTGTTTTCTATAACAAAATTTTAAGAAAAGTACTTTCCTAAGTTTTTTTTAAATTTTATTTTTCTTATTCATTACATTTTGTTAACTCTGTGTCCCAGCTGTATCCCACTCCCTCATTCCCTCCCCAATCCCACACTCCCTCCCTGGTCTCCTCCCTGCCCCTTTCTAAGTCCACTGATAGGGGAGGACCTCCTCCCTTTTCATTTGACCCTGTTTTATCAGGTATCTTCAGGGCTGGATGCAAAGTCCTCCTCTGTGGCCTAACAGAACTGCTCCTCCCCTGGGGGGGGTGGGGAGGTCAAAGAGCCTGCCCTTGAGATCCTGTTAGAAATGGTCCTTGTTCCCCTTACTTTGGAAAACTACTTGGTTACTGAGCTACCACGGGCCATATCCGAGCAGAAGTTCTAGGTTATATCCATAGATGGTCCTTGGTTGAGTGTCAGTCTCAGAAAAGATCCTGTGCCCAGATATATTTGGTCCTTGTAGAGCTCCTATCCTTTCCATATCATACTAACTCCCCTTCTTTCATACGATTTCCTGCACTCTGCCGGGGGTTTGGTTATGAGTCTTAGTGTCTGCTTTGAAACACTGCTAGGTAGAGTCTTTCAGATGCCTTCTGCAGTAGACTTCTGTCATACGTTCAATGCACATCCCATTTGTCTTTCTAAATGAGGATTGATCATCTTCGCCCGTGTCTGCTTTCTTGATTTCTTTAGGTGTGTAGATTTCATTATGTTTATCATATCTTGTAGGTCTATATAAGTGAGTATATACCATGTTTGTCTTTCTGCTTCTGGGATACTTCACTCAGAATGATCTTTTCTAGATCCCACCATTTGCCTGCAAATTTCATGATTTCCTCCTTTTTGATTGCTGAGTAGTATTCCATTGTGTAAAAATACCACAATTTCTGTATCCATTCCTCCGTTGATGGACATCTGGGTTGTTTCCAGGTTCTGGATATTACAAATAAAGCTGCTACAAACATGGTTGAACAAATGTCCTTGTTGTGTACTTGAGCAAATTTTGGGTATATACCTAGGAGTGGTATAGCTGGGTCTTGAGGTAGCACTACTCCTAATAGTCTGAGAAAGCGCCAGATTGACTTCCAAAGTGGTTGTACCAGTTTACATTCCCACCAGCAATGGAGGAGGGTTCCCCTTTCTCCACAACCTCTCCAGCATGTGTTGTCACTTGAGTTTTTGATCTTGGCCATTCTGATGGGTATAAGGTGAAATCTCAGGGTCGTTTTGATTTGCATTTCCCTAATGGCTAATGAGGTTGAGCATTTCTTTATGTGTTTCTCTGCCATTCGATGTTCCTCTATCGAAAATTCTCTGTTTAGCTCCATTCCCCATTTTTTAATTGGATTACTTGGTTTGTTGCTTTTCTGCTTCTTTAGTTCTTTATATATATTGAATATTATCCCTCTGTCAGATAAACGGTTGGTGAAGATTCTTTCCCAATCTGTAGGCAGTCATTCTAAGTTTTTTTTTTTATATGTAAATGCAAGTAAAAAAAAAAACCTGTATTTTGTAAATGTATCAACTGAAGTTGAACTGTATAAACCAAATTTCTAATTACTTTTTCCTTCCCTTAAAGATTTGGTGTTAGCTGGGTGGTGGTGGTACACGCTTTTAATCCAGCATTCAAGAGGCAAAAGGCAGGTGGATCTCTAAATTCGAGGTCAGCCTGGTCTATAGAGTGAGTTCCAGGACAGCCAGGGCTACACAGAGAAACCCTGTCTTGAAAAAACAAAAAGAAATTGTTATTAATAAATTCCTCTCTTAGGCCTGCATGCCTAAAATTATTGTGATATTCAAGCTTCATCATTAGTGTGAGTGACTCAGAACCATGAGGGGATTAGCGAGGCACAGGGAGGGTTTATCAGCGAGGGCATTTCCGTGTGCTGAGGGCTGTTGGGGTGGTACCATCCCACGGCTGGGATCAAAGGGAAGGACAAAGGGAGAGACTGAGAAAGCAAATGAGCATTAGATTTCCTGTCTCTGCTTCTTTGCCAACCATGAAATAAACAGCTGTTCTCCTACCCCTATAATGACATGTTGCCAAAGCAACTATGGACTAAACCCTCTGAAACTATGAACCAAGATAAAGCCTTCTTCACTTAAGCTGTTTCTGCCAGATAATTGATTGTAGCAACAACAAATGTAAATAATACAGAGGCTGAATACTGGTGGCTTCTTTTAACCAGGTTTACAGTAAAAATTGGGATAAAAAAGCTGAATGGGAAGATGCAAAATCAAAAAAACAAAAAACCAACAACCATGTCATTTGTCTAGAAAAGGGTTACTTTAAATTTTTAATAATTAGGATGGAGTTGTTAAAGGGACCAGCACCACTAGAGAGAAGCTAACACTTTGCACTGTGCTCCTAAGAAAGATACCTGTGGGCATCTCAGGAATTGAATCGACTCCAAATATCACAGGCTTTAAGGTGTAAAACTCAACTGCAAGACTCTCCTTTGAGAAGTGAGCAACGGGGCACCTTGCTCCCATGGTCCAAGGAAGCCTGACTACTGCTTTAACTAGCAGCAGACCTTGGCATCAGCCACATTTCCAGGCACACAGAATAGAAAAACCGTGGTTCCATGCAGGCTAAAGAGATTAGAACCCACATTTTTAAAAGAAGATCTGGAAGGCCAGGAAATGTGTAACAAACAGGGTTGGATTTCCTGCACAGAGCCTCTGAGCAGGTGATTGAGGAGAGGGAACCTCAATTTAAGAGAATGCCTCCTTAAGATGGGGCATAGGCAAAACTGTAAGACATTTTTGTTTCTTTGTGTTTTTTTTTGTTTGTTTGTTTTTTGTTTTTTTTTTTGTTTTTTGTTTTTTTCAAAACAGGGTTTCTCTGTTTTAGCCCTGGCTGTCCTGGACTCACTCTGTACACCAGGCTGGCCTTGAACTCACAGGGATCCACCTGCCTCTGCCTCTCTGGGTGCTGGGCTACATTTAAAATTAATGAGTGATGGAAGAGGGCCTAGTCCATTGTGGGTGGAGCCATCCATGGGCTTGTAGTCCTGGGTTCTATAAGAAAGCAGACACCCCTCCACCCTCCATGGCCTCTGCATCAGCTCCTGCCTCCTGGCTCCTTCCCTGTTTGAGTTCCTGTCCTGCTTTCCATGGTGGGCAGCGATGTGGAAGTGTAAGCAAAGTAAAACCTTTCTTTCCCAGGTTATTCTTGGCGATGGTGTTCCATCACAGCAATAGAAATCCCAACTTAGAAAGAGAGGAGTCATGTGAGTTGAAAATGGCAAGGTTATGCAGGCTGGGGCGTCCCAGCCCCTTGGAGTATACATCAGAACACTACATGCTTCAGAGGCTGAGCCTGAAACTACAGGACTTGATGATTGCACTGCTAGGCTTTGGCTGTATTTTGGTTTCATCTTTCCTTTCTATATTCTTCCATTTCAGAATGGGAATATTCGCTCCTGTTGTGTATGGGCAGTATGTGATTTTTTTTCTCATTTTACAGAGGTTCAAGTAAGAGATTGCCTTGAGTCTCAGTGGAGATTCTGAATTTGAACTTTCAAACAGTGTAAAACTTTTAAGCCTCTAGGACTCAAGGAGACAGGCTGAATACATTTGGACAAAAACCTTTGGGAACAAAGAATGGAATGGTGTTTAAAGTGATGTGTCTGTGTGTGAAGCTGACGGTGGGTAGAATATTTTCTATCTTAGTAAATTTTTCATCACTGTAGCCAAATGCCTAATAGAAATAAGAGTGAAAGAATTTATTTGGTTTTTGGTTCAGAGGGTTCAGTCCATGAGCTTAGTCCCGTGAGCCTGGGCAGACATCGTGGTGGTAGGAGCTGTAGGCAGAAGACAGCCGTTCCCTTGATGGCTGACCAGGAAGCAGAGGCAGGGAATGCTGGTGCTTATTTGACCTCTTCTCCTTCCCTTATTGTGTCAGTATCCCAAGTTTCTCATGGTGGGCCTGCCTCCTGTTCAGCCAATGCTCTCTGGAAACAAGCCCCAGTTACACCCATGGGTATGCTTCATTAATCCTGTGATTCTACATCTAGTTAGAAATAAGGATTTTTAATCACAACTACTTTTATCTCCCTCAGTACTGACTGGAGCCATATGGCTCCCTTGGAATAATTTTAGTACTTTTCTGCATAAAAAAATTACAATACCAACACTGTAAGCTATGTGAAATAAAACCAACAAGTAAAATTATTGTGTTTACTATTTACATACAACTTCAACAATATTTTATATAAACTTTACCTTGAGCTCATTTTATATAGAAATTCTAGTCTTTTCGTTGTTAGAATCAGAACTATACAAAAGTCCTATTGTCCCTACTTTTGCCAGAGGTGACAAGGTCCTAAATTTAGATCAAGTTCCTAAATCTTGGTAGGTATGAAGGTGATGTGTAAAATTTGTGTGCTAGTATTAGGGTTCAGAGGGGAAGAAGGAGGAAATATATATGACAGTTAACGTCAACCACAGCTCATTAATAGCTATGAAGCTATGGGCCCTGGTTAGGAAGAGACTATTGAGTCACACGCTTCATATGCCAAACCTCCTACTTCTATTGAAATGGGGAACGAATTGCATTCTGTTTCTCAGTTCATATGGAACATATTCGAGGATGGCAATAATAGGTATTTCTAGATTCTAAGTTGACAATAAGTGGTACTTGTAAGCTAGTTTTTTAGTTCTAAACTACATAGTTCATCCACACAGTCTAAAACCCTGCTCATTTGATAAAAAACTTGAGAATCTGAAAAATTCTTGAAATTTACCCAGGGCTTTTTTTTTTTTTTTTGATAATACACTTCAGATTGTAGGTAATTATCCTGAAGTAGAAAGAAGAAGTAGAAATAAGAAGAAATGCTTCAGCCAGCCATGCCCAATAAAAGCAAATATTTTTGCTTTTAATGAAGTGTTTTGAAGACATGTTTCCCATGTCAGTCGGTACGGAAATACACTCTTACTTCATCCAGACTTTTGTTCTCTCTCCCTGAAACCTAACACGGTTCTTATATGTGGAAGGCACTACAAGGAAGTCAAGGGTATAGCAGCAGTACTCACTGTCTTTTAACATTTTTTAGCCTTACAATTGAGGTACAATTCTTCTTTTTTTAAATACAGGTAACCAGCATGTAGACCAAGTTGGTCTAAAATTCATAACTTTACTGCTCAGGCTGCCAAATGCTGAAATAATAGGAATAATTGCAATACCAAGAACTTTAAAGGTTTTAGCCATTAGCCAGATGGAAGTGACTTATCTCTTGATGTGATGAGTACCTTTCAGCTCTTTCAAATGACTCTAGATCCATTAACTGTTTTAAAAGCTATTTTGAAGCCAGGAGGTGGTGGCACACGCCTTTTGTTTGTTTGTTTGTTTGTTTGTTTTGTTTTTCCATTGCTGAGGACAGAACCCAGCACCTTGTGCTTGCTAGGCAAGCGCTCTATCACTGAGCTAAATCCCCAACCCCTGGTTGTGCACACCTTTAATCTCAGCGCTTGAGCGGCAGAGGCAGGCGGATCTTTGTGAGTTTGAGGCCAACCTAATCTACAGAGTGAGTCCACGATAGCCAGGACTGCACAGAGAAATCCCGTCTCAAAAGCAACCCCTACCTCCCACCCCCAAAAGCCATTTTGTTTTAATTTTGCCGAATCATAATGCATCAGGTAAGACTTGTTTTATAAACTCTCATTAGCTATTTCAGTTACAACAAGAAATAGAAAATAGTCCTGTGTGATTAAAGAGTTACTACAGGGGCTGGAGAGATAGCTCAGCAGTTAAGAGCACTGAATGCTCTTCCAGAGAACCCCGATTCAATTCCCAGCCCTGTCAGAACTGTCTATAACTCCAGGATCTATCACCCTCACACAGACATTCATGCAAGCAAAAACCACCAATACACATGAAATAAAAATAGATAAATTTAAAAAAAGTTACAATGATTAATATTTTAATGCTAACTAAAATTTAAGTTTATATTAATGTATACTGATTTATGTTTCTGATTGCCAACTTGCTTCCTCAGACAGATTAGGAAATATAGAGAAATGAGAGCATGAAAGAGTCTAAGAAAAACAACTCTGTTTCGCCTTAGCAGAGGCACTAAAGTATGTGATTGCATGCTTATACCATGCTGTTCCAGAGCTCACTCATGCCACAGACATGCCAAGCTCAGGGTTTCTAGGTGTAGTCCTGGCAGTCTTGGAACCTGCTTTGTAGAAGAGGCTGGCCTCGAACTCACAGAGATCCACCTGCCTGTACTTCCCTAGTACTAGGATTAAAGGCGTGCACCTGGCTGCAAATAATTCTTAAATAGAGTGTGAAGATATACTTAGGGTACTCAATGCTGGCTCCTCCATGTCTCAGTTAGACACCAAACAGACCATTAAAGATGCGAACAGAACCTGTAATGAGTTGTGGGTCCTTGGCTACAGCTGCTTCTAGCTCTCCTGCCAAGAGCAGCCTAGGAATCATTCACGAGGGACTCACAGGCATTTCTAATTCTCCTGGAGGTGTGTGATTTAGGACACATTCCAGTTTACAATGGGAATGAAGATTGTACTAAGTTCCTAGTTTTGTAACTTGAATAAGAAGCAAAATTGATGGCTTTATTTCAAGATGATAGACTAAACTTACTTTGGAAAACACTAAATTTATGTATGCTGCCTAATAAAAGATAGCATCCAAAGCTATCTCAGACTCTGTCAGGCAATCATGTATGCTGGGCTTCTAAGATATACCATTTTGGCCTTTAATCCCAGCACTTGTGAGGCAGAGGCAGGTGGAACTCTGAGTTCAAGACCAGCCTGGTCTACACAGAGAAATCTTGTCTTGAAAAACAAAACAAGGGATAGGAGAGCTGGCTCAGCAGTTAAGAGTCCTGCTTTTCCACAGGACCTGGGTTCAACTACCAGCACCCATATGGTGGCTCATGACCTTCTGTAACTCCAATTCCAGACACTATTCTGGCCTCCCTGAGTACCATGCACACATTTGTACAGACACACATGCAGGTAAAATACCCACACATACAAAATGAAACAACTAAAAGAAAAACAAAACAAATTGGATCCAACTGGAATATGAATATTTAGCCTTGTAGTAGCAATTCTAAGACCGCAGACCATTCTCTACAATAACAATGGATGCTGAACAGATTTATGGACCAACCCCTAGTTCTATATATCTGATATTCTCAATACTGAGGCCATAATGACAGGTTGAAGGACATACACTGATAGAAACAGGGTAGGATTTCCTGGGAAATAAGTTGATGAACACACTATGCTGGAACCCTTGCCTACTCCGGCCACAGATGTATCATCTTTTAGAAGACCTCATAATGAGTCTTTGAAGCAGACAGCCAGCATCACAGAGAGACTGAGGCCAGAGCAATTAGGAGCAAGTGATGGAGCCAGGACTTTAATGCAGAGTTTTAAGACACTTATTCTGGGGTACACTGTGACTCCCCAAATGTATACACTGAAACCTTAGTCTCAGAACATGAGACAATGACTGTATCTTTTAATAAAGAGGAAATTAGGCAATGAGATCAGTAGAGTAGTTCTTAGTCCTACACAACCACACCAGCCCAGCAAACACCTTACTCAGTAGGCTGCAGGACCCTGAGGAAATAAGATGTTATTGTTCACGCCAGCTAGTCCGTGCAATTTGTATGGAACCCACAGAGTGTGCCTTCCATGGCATGAGTGTCACCAGCAAGGGTTCAGAGGCAACTTCTGAATCATTCTATTTCTGTCAGGATCCTGAAACTTACTTATTAAAAGTTACTTACTTTCACTAGTAATTATTGTAATGGTAATATACTCAAAATGCTGAAAGCTACTGTAAAAGATGACATTGTGAAAAATATCCTACCATATTGTCATATTACCTAGTTTCCTTTTAGGCAAAGTCATTCTTATGTCTTTCTGTGTCACCATCTAACAATATTCTATAAAAAAAAAATCACAGATGTGTGCATATATAGTCATAGCCTCTTCCCAGCTTTATATATATATATATATATATATATATATATATATATATATATATATAATATATATACACAGTCTCATAATTTTTCATAAGAGCTTCTTGGAAGTTGTCTTTAAATGGAGATATTTCATTAAAAAATGCTTGTCCTGAACTGCAGCTTGGGTTCTAGATACAATCTTTACTTACATTTTACACACAGCAGAAAATGGAAATGTCTGAAATCTTGCATGTAATAAACTCACTGAAGAATGTTGCCTTGGTAAGCTTAGATGTGTTGGTGGCATTTCTAATTCTCCTGAAATATTTGAAAATTAAAGTTATATAATACTGTAAAAATAAGATAACTTTTAGAACTCTTGTAAATAATTACTGGGTCAATTTGCTGCAACAAAATGTTTGTATTAGTTTTTTGAGAATTTAGTATGATGCATTTTATCACATTCACCTCTTTTCCTCAACTCCTCCCAGATCCACACATCCAACCCAACTTTGTGTCCTCTTTTTTTTTTTTTTTTTTTCTGCCATCAAGTCCAACTTGTGCTGCTCACAGAGTTTTTGATGTTCAGTAAGAAGAAATTTGGGGGGTGGAGCTAGAGATATAGCTCAGTTGCTAAAGCATTAGAACCTTAGTTCAGTCCTAGTACCCATGTGAGAAGCTGGGCATGAGGGCTTGCCCTTGAAATCCCAGCCTGTCCTTTGTCCATGAGCCCAAAGTCTCAGTGGGAGAGCCTGTCTCAGAAAACAAAGTGGAAGGCTCCTAAGGAACGGTGCCCGAGCTTGACCTCTGGCTTCCCCTCACATATATGTATGCACACATACAGAACACAAGAAATTTAGATTCCTTGAGCTAGGAAATAACAGTCCTAAATTTATATCTATATAATGAACTACAAATTATTACTTGGTATCTCAATTATGACAGTGGTGACTTTTAAAAATGACAGTGACAGCTGAATTTGACTGAGTTAGCTATCTAAGATAAACCCTAAGAGCTTTGTGTATAAGAAGAGTTTTAGTTCTGGAGACTAATGTTGTCCATACTTAGGAGACAGCACTATTTTCTATATAAGAGTAATTCTTCACTTTAATGAGTCAGGACTCTAGATGTCTTTGTCAGAATGATAAATTAATAGAATGGGCCTGAAAACTAGATCTGCCTTTATTGAAAAGCAGTACAGTTAAAGCAGTAAGCACCCTCGCAGATACACATGTGCTTAGAGTAGAAACGTTCTAAGTAACAATCTCATCAATATAATTTTAAAAGAACACAATTTGGCTTTATTCTGGAACAAAACATGATGCAGTTCCCAAATTTGATATGATAATGATAAAATAATGACACAGCAGAGAATGATATGCTGCTCTAAGGGATTAAAAACGCTACCTTTGAAGCGTTGGCAAGATGGCTTAGAATGTAAAAGTACTTGCCACCAACCCTGATGACCTGAGTTCAAGCCCCGGAATCCACATGGTGGAAGGAAAGAACCAACTCCCACTAGGTGCCTTCTGACCTTTATACACACATCATGGCACCACTCCACTCAATAAATAAATATGTAATTGAAAGGGTCTGTTTTTAATTATAACAAAGATCAATAAGATTACTAACACCAAAAGGAAACATAAGGTTTTGGAGCTAAAGTGATGGCTTTGTAGTTGGTAGCACTTGCCACTCTTACAGAGAACCCAGGTTTGAGTCTCAGCAGCTATGCTGGGTGTTTTACAAAATGGTTTCAGGGCATCTAATGCTCTTTTTTGCCCTCAGATGGCAAGTGTATGCACACAGCGCACACACATACTCAGACATACACATATAAAGTAAGATAATAAAAAATAAAGTTAAAGTACTCAGCTATAATTTGAGATTATATCTGTGTGTGGGGTGTGTGGGTGTATATGCATGCACATCAGGGTGAGGCCAGAAGTCAAAGCTGGGTGTCTTACACAATCACTCTCTGCCATAACTTTTGGTACCAGGTCTGTCCCTGAACCCACAGTCTACCAACTCAGCTACCAGCTGCTGGGGAACTCACAGTCAGAACTCATACTTTGAGTTCATACTCATACTCATATAGCATGCACTTTGCTGACTAAGTCTTCCCCCAAGCCCCAAGATTTGCATCTTAATTTTAGCAGTATTTCCTCCACTCAGCTTCTCAAATGTTTGTAACTCTGTTGTATATATGACTCGCTCTTGTGGCTGACAAGATTCTGATAGGGCAAATATAAAGGGGCAGAAAAAAGAAAAAGATGACAAGACCATAATGATCAAGGTTTTGAACACAAAAACTAATTCACAGTAGACTATAAATGCAGATTTAGTGTTCTTCTATATCATATCGGTAAAGCTTGGTAAGCCAATGACTTGGGCAAAGTCTTTACCTGGTTTACTGGGCTCTGGTTCATGTGGGCTTGCAATAGTTAAGCTTTCTGTGGAGTTGCATTTTATATCAAATTCATACTTGGTAATAAGACCTGAAAGGAAATAGAAGAAATTCTAGCAACAAAGTACCATTAAAATTATGTCTTATAACACTATTCCATGGCTTTTTCCTTTCAAACTTTAAAATTTAAAGTATCTTTATCGCCTTACTGCAGACAAATATTTTTCTTTTAGAGAGGGCTGGATATTCTGGAAAAAATGCTGACATAATTGGTAAATTCTATTCTCCAATGCACATGCCCTTCCCTCCTCATCTATCAATTAAAATCATCAAAGAAATATAAAAATGCAAAAATCAGCATAACGATTGGAAGCTAAGATAGAGCAAATGCTTTGAAACATAATCTTCACCCATCAATGGTAACTTTCTAAGCTCAGTTTAACTGGGATTCTCCTGTGGTTCTGGAGATTCAAACCAAGCCTTGGGCGTGCTGGGCACTCTGCCACAGAACTACACTCACTGGCACTGGTGCTAATGATTATTTCTCTTTCCAGTTGCTCGGTATATTGTGCCAATTACTTTATTATTATTATTATTATTATTATTATTATTATTATTATTATTATTATTATTTATACATGCTTACATATGTGTATGTGCACCAACGCATATGTGCATGTGGAGGCCACAGGTCACTCTTCTTCGGTTACTTCCCACGTTACTTTTCAGTCTCTCAGTGAGCCAGAGCTCACTGATTTGATCTAAAGCTAGGCTGCTTCAGCCTTCTCGGCACTGGAACCACAGCATGTACACTCATGCCTGGCTTCAGTGGGTCCTGAGAACTGACTGTAGGTCTTCGTGTTCCAGTGGCGAGCTTCTTACTGACCTAGCCCTCTCCCCAGCCCTGTCACTTACTGTTCATTTTAACTCATCCTTTGTGACACACAACTCTTATAGACAGTATACACATTAACTCCTTGAGTGCAACACAGATTTATCTATTTGTTTATGAAATTATTGTTCATCTTATAACTGGTATGCACATCTTTCCTCTACATACTTTTATTAAGTTGATAATGAGTCTTATAGTTGGTGGGTTCTTAGAATCACAAAATATGTAAAATGATTGTCAGAAGGAAAAGCAATGAGAAAACTGGAGTAAACTGGCCCTGAGGCACTTTCCCATGTTACAGTTTTTACTAGGTGCTGGGGCAAACAGAATGTAGATAAAATTTTTAAGACAAATCTATCTTTACTAGAGTTCAGGGCTAATACAGTAGCTAGAAAGTGAATTCAGGAAAGGAGAGAGCCACAGAGAAGGCCCCAACTCTAATATATAAACACACTCTGTCTAAATCTTTAACTCCTGAACTACATGTTTGGTGTGGTGTCCATAAAAAAAAAAGAATACTTAACAGAGACTTCAACTTATTCCTGCTGTAGGGGTGAAAAGCTTTTTGAGCAAAGCGGACAATTTACTGTTAAATAAACAAAAACCAACTCTCATTAGTGGGACAGAGCAGAACTTAACTAAAAGCCACAGAAAGCTAATACAGCTAACTTTATCTTGACCTTGAAATGTCAAGGCTTCTTAAGACAAGAAAACAGATGAGGATGTCCACTTTCACCATTACGGTTCACCACTGCACTAAAAGTCCTAACAGCACAGTACAGCAATAAAGAGAAATAAAAAGTATCCAAATTGGAAAGGAGGTAGTCAAATTATGTCTGTTTGCAAATATTGTGATATTATACATAAAGATGTAAGCCTCTGACAAAATAAAATCTGGAGTAAAGAAATTTGCAGAATGCTACTGATAAACTATCCGTCAGGTCCAAAAGAAACTGGGGACAAATGCCTCTTAGCATACCAAAATGCATGCTGTCCTCCAGGCTCCCTCGGCATCACAAGCACCTATGAGAATCCATGCTGACATCCTGGCTCTTCACACCCTGCCCACCACCCTAAACTCCAGCTCAGGGGATTCCCTTAGCCCAGTTTCTCGTTCCTACATAACCCTGCCATTGTACCCTCCTGGTCCTCTCTATCTTTGCCCACCCTTCTCCCTTTCTTCTTGTTCTCTCTCCTCTGTACCTGCCTCTCTCCTCTCATGGCCCAGTTCAGTCTGCTGGCCATGTTTAGTTTACTACTTTCTTTTCCTGCTCTGGACTCTTCTACAGGTCTCTGGTTGTACTCTCCCTCATATCTACAACAAAAACCTTCTCCTCAATTATTCCTTGGAGCAGTCATGTCCTCATTTTATACACTATGTAAAAATCATCATACACTGTGGCTAGAAATGCAAACTAATACAGCAAAAACCAGAGCTAGTATACACACAGTCTGGCAAGCCTGCTGCTGGGATATAAACAATTAACACAAACAATATCTCAGAGCAATACCTGCAAATCCATGTCCATTGCAGCTTCACTGACAGAAGCTAAAATGTGGGAACACCCTGGGTCATACACATAGGAGACAATCAGAACCCTGAAAACACTGCAAGTACTCAGGGACACATCCTGGCAGCCCCTCAGGCAGTTAAGCATGGAGCTCCCATGATGCAGCCACCTCATTATTTGGCAAAAGTATCATAAATAAAATTAAAAGATTGCCCTTCAAAATAACTCTCTCTCTCTCTCTCTCTCTCACACACACACACACACACACACACGGAAATGCTAAAATAGCAGATACCCAAGAAATAACACATGGAATTATATGCAATTAAGAAGTCTCTGTATCCTACCACAGAGGGCTTCTGAAAGACTCTACCCAGCAGTGTATCAAAACAGATGCTGAGACTCATAACCAAACTTTGGGTAGAGTGCAGGGAATCGTATGAAAGAAGGGGGAGACAGTAAGACCTGGAGAGGACAGGAGCTCCACAAGGAGAGCAACAGAAACAAAATATCTGGGCACAGGAGTCTTTTCTGAGACTGATACCCCAACCAAAGACCATTAATGGATATAACCTAGAATCCCTGCTCAGATGTAGCCCATGGCAGCTCAGTATCCAAATGGGTTCCCTAGTAAGGGGAACTGGAACTGTCTCTGACAACTTAGGGGCTGGCTCTTTGACCACATCCCCCTGACAGGGGAGCAGCCTTGCCAGGCCACAGAGGAGGATAATGTAGCCAGTCCTGATGAGACCTGATAAGCTAGGAACAGATGGAAGGGGAGGAGAACCTCCCCTATCAGTGGACTTGGAGAGGGGCAGGGAGGAGAAGAAGGAGAGAGGGTGGAATTGGGAGGGAATAAAGGAGGGGGCTACGGTTGGGATACAAAGTGAATAAACTGTAATTAATATATTAAAATTTTTGAAAAAAAAAGAGTTGGGAACTCATATCTAGAATATATAAGGAATAGCAAAAATCAAACAACAGCAAATTCACAAATCTTTCAGTCAATAAATGGGCTAATTAACTGGATAGTTTTCAAAAGAAGAAATACAAATAGCTACTAAATTCTTGGAAGAGTGCTACATATCCTTGGCTATATATTAGGGAAATGCAATTTAAAACTGCGCTGAGATTCTAGTTACCCCAGTTGCAATGGTTATCATCAGGAAAAAAAAGAACAAATGCTGCTGAGGATATGAGGAGAACTTTTACCCAGTGTGGTGGGCATACAAACTTGGGAATTCACTAAGGAACTGGGTATGAAGGTTTCTCAATAAGTTAAAGACAGAACTACAACAGGACACAGCTAGACAACTCCTGGGTACATATCAAAGGGCTCTAAGAGCTATCACAGAGACACTGGCACTCATGTTTACCGCTGCACTATCACAATAGCCATGGGATGGAGCCAGCAGGGATGCTCATCAAAGATCAGTAGATAGCGTAGGAATATACCTATGGGATTTTACTCAGCCATGAAGAAGAAATTATGACACTTGCAGAAATAGAAGAGGAACTAGAAGTATTATAGAAAGCATTACAGACTCACATTTTCTCTCTAATGCATATCCTGGATTTTAATTTTTATACAGATGTATATGTGTTCTGGGGAGGTATAGGTCACAAAACCAGAAGGGAGAAAAGTATCAAAGTACAGTTGTAAGAGGAGAACAAAAATGGTAAGAGAATAATGTGACATGAAAACAGAAAAAGAAGGAGGGGGACTAGCAGGAGCAGGGCAGGAGTCTGGAGGAGAGAAGGGAAGACCAACAAAAAAGATGAAACCCAGTAACAAATTAAATAGAAAAATTATAAAAATTAAGAAAATAAATGTACACATGCAAAAAAACTTCTAAATAAATATTTATAGCAGGCTTATTTGTAACAGCTAAAACAAAAAATAATTCAAATGTCTATCAACAGATGTGTGGATAATTAAAATGTGAGAAAACATCTCTACAATGGGATGTTATTTGGCTATAACAATCAATAAAGTACTGCTAAGTTTGAAGAATCATGGTAAGCGGAAGAGGGCAGCCCCAGGGAGATCACCTACCGTATAGCTGCAGCTTCACTGAGTGTCCAGAATGAGCAACTCTGCGTTGGATTCTCAGGAATGTAACAGTGGTGTGCCAAGCACGAAAGGCTCTGAGTCAGACTCCAACACCAGAAAAAGTGACAATAGGTCAAGGGTCTAATAGCAACAATCCTGAGACCCCAACACGTAACTTACAGAACATCTCTGCAAAGTATTTAAACAAATAAGAATTCAGATAACAAGTAGTTTTGTTTGTTTGTTTGTTTGTTTTGTTTTGTTTTTCAAGATTGAGGTTTCTCTGTGTAACCACCCTGGGTATCCTGGAACTTGATTTGTAGGACAGGCTGGTCTTGAACTCAGAGATGGGGTTCCTATGTGTAGCCACTCCGCAAACAAGGCTGACCTTAAACTTAGAGATCTGTCTGCCTCTGCCTCCCAAATGCTGGAATTAAAGGTGTGCACCACCTCACCTAGCACAGCAGTTTTTAAAGGAACACACCTCTAAGCGAGTTCTCACCTCTTTGTTCATTTTCATCTCCATCAGCCATTATTTCAGGTATTAGGTTTAATGACTCCTTCAGTTCTGATGGTGATTGGGTAGGAATTTCTTGTTTGGGGTTTGTAGAGATTAAGAATTCAAACTCAGAAGGAAAAACTGATGGCTGAAATAATATAACATTTTGAAAAATTTAAGAGACATTTCCAAGTAAATATATTTAATTCCTAAATGGATGTTTGTTTAAATGGCACACTAAAATTCAAACTTATTTCAGATTCTGTTTTAACTGCTATACAGATTAAAAAAAAAAAAAAGAGGTTTAGTAGTCAGAAATAGGTTCTTCTTACAAACAATGCCTTTCTTGATTAATCTCTTTTATAATCCCCATCCCCTTAGTGACACACAGTAAATTCGTATGTAGCTTCTTTTTGGCTAAAAAAAAATTTAGAAATTCTACATTAAAAAGAGTTAAAGAAATTGAGAGATAGAAAAGTAGCAAAAGGTGGAACTGGGAGGAGAGGTGGGAGGAGCTATGATTGGGATGTAAAGCAAATAAATAAATTAGTTTTAAAAGTACCAAAACCTGAATAGGTGTGATGGAATAGAGTTTGTCTCTACTGCATCCCACGGGCTATATTTTTCTCTCATCTTCACAGACAATATTCCTCAACAGGTGAGACTGTACCACTCAGAACTAACATGGGAAGGGGAAGGGGAAGGGGGAGGGGCTGGAGTCAGCAGGTCAATAAACAAATTAATACCTTCACCAACTTGTTCACATTTTATCTGTAAGGAAACCCTTGAAGTGCCTTTACTGCATTGTGTGTGTGTGTGTGTGTGTGTGTGTGTGTGTGTGTGTGTGTATGTGTGTCCTTTGGTATTAAGAAAAACCCCCAATGTATAAAATATTTCAGTTGTCCATAAAAATGTGTCTTTAAATTATAATGTCCATAGAATTTACCTTATAATTTTTAAACTTAACTACTTACATTTCTATATCAAGTATAGTGATAAAAGAGGTTTGAAAATTCTCTGTACCTGGACTGCCCACTAGACAATTAATATTAATTAATTTTAATTAATTAATTAATAATATTATTAATTAAATTAATAATATTGATTAATATTAATTAATACCAGAATATAACTGGGTAGGATCCAATGTCAACCATCATCTACATCTGAAAACCACTACTTAGAAGTAAATTTGGCTCCATAATTGACACATATTCAACTTGGTATCAAAAAATTTAGCATGACAGTTGCAAACAGTTAAAGTAAACTCCTAAAATTTATAAACGCGTGCACCCTTACTTCTGGAAATACATTACTGAAAGCAAGTGTTATAATTCTATTTGAAACATACTAGTGTCGTCTTACAAAAGGTCTCCTCAGCCATATGAAAATCTCTCACAAAAGGTTCCAAACGTTCTTCAACAGAGAAACATTCCCTTGAATCAAAAATTAAACAAGATTAATTAATACTAACACCTGTAACAAATATTGCCGATTAAAATACAAAGACTATCATGCAAGCTGAGCTGAAGCAATGGAACAGTGTCTAAACCTGTGGCTACACAAAGACTGTTCTCTCAAATAAAAGCAATTACAGTAGCAGGCAACTACATACGGGAGATTCTCCTTTCCGGAGAGGTGTTCTTTAAAATCTGGAAGCGGGTCCTTCACCAGAGGGAGCTTTAGTCTGCTCCAGAGAGTATCCACAGTGGGTAGATGATTGTCCACTGTTTCATTTATAAAAATCATTTCCTCATCAATATGTAATCCTGAAAAAAAATAAGGAATTAAGAATCTAATAGTTATACAAGAGATATAGACATTAAATATTAATGGATTTTTCAAACACACCAAAATAATCTAGTTCTCTATTATACTAAGTATATGAAACACAGATTGTAGTACCCAGACCAAAGGAAGAGCTAAAAAATGTGGTATTATTTAGCATATGGAAACAAAGACAAATGTTCTAAAAGAGTTGCATTATAGTGACATACTTTATCAACAAAGACTGGCTTAATTACTGGAGGGAAATATTTTCTACTTCAAAATAGCACCAAAAGTTTAAAGAGTATAAAAATATTATACTCTGGTTGAGTCTGCTTCTCCATTCTCTGCATTATTTAATCTGTAAGGACATACAATGAATGAATATGATCTAGAGAGCCTAAGTATGAAATCACTGACTCCGTCATTATAAAGTTATCCAAACAAGGCTGGCACTTAACTAATTATAATGAAAATTATAATGAAAACTGTATACTGGAACATTACTTGGAAAGTATGATATACTTTACATATTAAAATTAATACTGATAATATTAACCAGTGATTTCCCTCTCTATCATAACCTTTTATGTTTGGGTTACTTTAGAATCTTGGCTAGTTGTTGAGTAGTGATCTTCTGATCCATGGATGTAAACATTAAATTAGCCCCCCTTTTCAATAAATTTAAGTGAAAAAGAAAAGAAAATGTACACTTAGAGAAGGAAACGCCCAGGAAGCCAAAATCTCCAATCTGAAAGCTGCCTTGAGCGCGGAGAATGGACAAGTCTCTTGTGCTGGGCAGTAGCATTTCGGCTAAGTACAGGTAGCAGGTGTCAGGGGAGGATCAGAATGTTTTCAGGCAGTGGTGTCTCTCCTGGACAACTACATAAGTGATGTCAATATGTGACAGAATACAAGCATCCAGGAGCATCCCTTCTGTGCTGAATATGTATCAAAGGAAAACTTGCCATACAAACCAACTTCGTAAGTGACCAACCAAATCATTTAAGTCCCTGCTAATCTCCTGACTAAAAATTCCCTGTGAGACACTGATGAAAGCTCATCAGCCAAGTCCACCGAAGCAGGACTAAGCTGAGAAAATTAAGGGCAATTTATCCATATAATGTGCCGTTGTGAAAATGCTGATGAAGTCAAGAGTGAAAAAGGCATTAGTTATACCCCGTTACTCTTCCAAACACAAGCTCCAAGGCTGTCACCCAAAGAAAGCCACATTCTGCTTTCTACTGCAGTGAACACCTCATGTCCCTCTTGAAGTCAGCCCCCAAGAGTCAACGTCCGTTTTTATGCAGCCACTAGAGGTCAGGCTGTCGCCATAACCAAGGCTGTCAGGGAAGGCTGTTTTCCCCAGGCACGCGGTGGCCTCCGTGTACAACTACAGCCGTGTGCCCTGCTGTTCTTACTTCAGAGCAATCATGTGTGCTCCTCACTGTGTCACGCTGTGTAGACGGCTGATAAGCAGTAAATGCAAAGCTCAGTTATGAAAGAAGCAGGAAAAACAGCTTTAGTGACAGGAAACTTGGCAAGAGTTACTTCTGTTCACTTAGAAAACCCAAATCAACTAGATGAAAACAGTATGAGTTCCTTAAGATGTGTGTATAAATTATTAAAGTCATGATTTCCTAATGAATACTATTGAGAATCTTAGAAAACAAAACAACAACAACAAACTTACATTGAATAAAAAGCAAGACAAACCATTCCCCATCCCCATCCCCCAGCTAGGAAAACTATCGAAACGTTTTAAAGGATCTAACACACATTTTCCAAGAGGTATGATTTAGAACTTTTGGGGAAAGTGACTACAAAGCAAATATAGACAAATAAATACATGAAGTCAGGGAGAAAAAAAAAAGCAACAAGAGACTAAACATATATCATAGGCTTAGAGCTCAAATTATGTGACACTAACATAATAGACAAAACAATAGAAAACCTAGAATTATACTGAAAATGGGTAAGAACTTAGCATTTAATATTAGCAGCATTTATGATAGTGAGAAAGACTCTTAACTAAATGATATTGGGACAAATGTCAAAATATTTTAAAAATGTTCCTAGTTTTAAACATAAAAGTTGAAATAAAATTATATAAAACATTACAAAATTAATGGTGTGCCATGGCACACACCTAGAATTCCAGTACCCAGGAGGCAGAGGCGGGTAGATTTCTGTGAGTTTAAAGCCAGCCTGGTCTACAAAGTGAGTTTTGGACCAGCTAGAGTTACACTGCAAGACCCTGTCTCAAAACAAACAAATCCTTTAACATGGAAACGTTATATAATAAGGGAACATTTTTCTAAGCATAAATGCAATTCAAGAATCTATACAGGAAAACATCAGCAGAACAGATTAAAGTTAAATGCACTTGGAATTATTAGTGTCTTTACATATAAAAACACATGCAAATAAAAATGATTTTTATAAAATAAAGATACAAATAGGCAATACACATTAATAACTTTTAAAATGCAAATGAAGTATACAGTTGTTTATGTGTGTCACCATAATATCAGCAGCACTGTATGCCGTGGCGATACAGCTGGCATGAATAAATCATTCTCATACTATACTAAATCTTCCATCTCCAAGATTAACCTCAGTGAAATAACTAGAAATGAGAGTATATATCCATGTATGTGTTTGAAATTAATCACATTGAAAACTACAAAGATGATAAAGGATGTCTGTGATATGGGAGACCAAAGAAAATCAAGTTAAGCATTATCTTCCCTTAGTGAATTGATTCCTTCCAACAATGGCTTGTGGTGCCACAGATTAACAACTCTCTGTGTGGATCCTGCTAGTTTTTTAAAATAAATTATCCACATACATATAATATAAAATATTTTCATCTTCATAAAATTTTACAAGAAGTTTTAATAATAAACCAGGAAAAATAATTATAAAAGAAAACTAAAACCATAATTTATCCCCAAGCCTCAAAGACAACTTTCCAAACTGCATCACATAAAAGGAGCAGTAAAATAACTTGGCTGTAGCTTTATTTTACCCTCCAAGACAGGGTTTCTCTGTGTAGCCCTGGCTGTCCTGGAACTCACTATGCAGCCCAGGCTGGCCTTCAACTCACTAGGTAGACCAGGCTGGCCTTGAACTCACAGAGATCCATCTACCTTTGGAATTAAAAGTGCTGGATATAAGGGTTGTACTTCCGGCTACAGCATTTCTTAAATAGCAGGATCGATTATATAACAGACCTTCAAGTTTTATCATTAAACACGGAATAGGCCATTATATATTACAAGAAAGCCAGTTCTCAGCAAGGTTTGAAGAACTCAGTCAGCTAGAGCGATTTGGAGAATGGTTTGGATAAAACATTATTTTAGTTGATACTGACAGTAACTTTTTAAAAACTGGTGTATTTCTTAGCATAATATGACTACAACTCCATCTCTGATGTGAGGTTTGCTTTCACATATATTAGGTAAGACTGAGCATCGTTAGGGTATTTTGAGAAATAACATACAGGCATATGTTCAGAATCCAAAATATAATATCCCATTACACTTCTGCATCACAAAATCTAGACCCAGAGCCAATGACATTACAGGAACTTACTGGAACATGCTAGAACATCCCCAGATCAAAAGTGTAGAGGTTATTTTGAGTTTCAGCTAACTTAAACTAAAAGAAATCCATTTATGAAAAAATATATTAATAAGGAAGAGAAAATACTGTTAGCATGACAAAAGCTAGACTTCCAGTCATGTAGCTAGATATTTTTAATAAAATAAAGATATTTAAAATACAGTTGAGCAAAAGCTCAGAGAAATGAGTTTGTAGCTATTAGCAGGAAACGTTTTCTCCTTTCCTACCTTGGGGCTCTGCTCTCACTCCTGAGCAGTGCAAGGAGTACTTGACAGGTATGAAGTCTTCTCTGTAGTCCTCACTGAGGTATGAGCTGATATTCCCTATTCCAGTTGGAGAGTTTGGGTTGGAACTTGGGACAATTTCCTCAAATATACCATTAATCATCATTCCTGTAACTGTCTTTCTGTGATATAAAATTATTGATTTTATCAGTGTCTATCCTAAAACATTTTTATTAATAAACAGTATGTGTTAATCAAAGAAAATTTGCCCAATTCCAATGGATACTAAGAAAAAATTATCTGTAGCCCCACCACTTGAAAGGAATGCAAAATTATGCAAATTCATTAAGTATTTGTGAATAATTTTAAACAAAATTACACAATAGTAATTCCATAACCTGTTTTTTTCTACTGCACTATGAATAATGGGCCTATTTACATGTTCATCACTGACTTTATATTTGAGTGGAAGAAGAAGAGAATTCCATTCATTACTGCTATATTTTGGATTAAAGGCTTGGTTCACTGCGTGGCACATGGGGAGCCAGGAGAGCTTGTAAGACATGGGATTGGTTGGCAGGTGTCTGGAACACTGGGAGTAAGTACTTAAGCGGGACACTGGACTCTGGCCCTCTCTTGGGAGCATTATTGCTCTGCCATGTGTTCCTGCTGTTATATGCTAGCTCATCACAGGCCCAAGTCAATTGATCACATGCCAGGAACTCCAAAACTACAAACCAAAATAAATATTTTCTAAGTTAATTATTTCAAGTACTCTGTTAGAGTGATTGAAAGCTACCATATTTAATAAACTGACGTTTCGTTAACCAGTTCCCCCTTACTAGAACTTTATGTTTCTTGTACTGTTATTATGAGCAATAATGCAAGGACCAGTTTTGTATGCCTATTCAGTCACTTTCTCAAAATTCATTTCCTAAAAACAGAAGTTTTGGAGACGTTCCACAGATTTACTTTTACTTATTTGTTGGCAACTTTTGCCACTCATTGCCAGATTTCCATTATATTTTATATGTAATGTCTGTTCTTCAATATCACAGAGATCTTCCCCTCCTAATTCCCTTTCCCCATTGCTTTATTCTAGCCTCTAACCCCAAGCAGGAACTACTATTCCCCCACCCACAGGCCACTGCAAAACTGCTTATCTTCACCTCTTCCTCAGTTCCTTCTATCCAATCACCCAGTTTTATTCCCAGCTCTGCAGCAGGCCACCTCCTGTACCCAGCCTCCAACCCCAGCAGGCACTCCCTAGGACCCCTCAAGCTACTCAGGCCAGGGGAGCAAGTAGGCTAACTGCAGATCTTCACCTCTCCCTCCACTCCTCCAAGGCCAATCCCCCAGTGTCGTCCCCAGCTCTGTCATCCTCACCTGCTGTGGTCTCTCCCCAGTTTCTGCTCCTATTCCCAGGGAATGAAGCAGATCCTGATGGAACACTCTGCTTCCCTCCCTCCTGTAGACCCCCTCAGCCCCACCCTCCTCCTACCCCGTGTACAGTCCTTCTTCGGTATCAGCTCCCAATTCCTAGATACAGGTTTGACCTGGAACCCCTAGTGGCCACACCTATCAGTATCCCAGAAGAATTTCCTACCAGACAGCACACAGCCACCAGCCACCAGCCACACTCTCTTAAGAACCAAAGAGGGCAACAGAAACCCAGGAACAAAACACAACCACCCAACATAGACAAAACTAGATATCAGCACTTAGAATTACGATCTTCCCAAATCCATATGCCTAGATACCAGCATAAAAACACAATAACAGCCAGGACAATATGTCTCCACTAGAGTCCAGTAGGCCCCAAGTATTGCAACATAGCTGAAGCACCAGAAAAAGACCTTAAAAATATCCTTTATGAATATGATAGAGCACTTTAAAAGGAAAGGAATAAATCCCTTAGGGAATTTTATAAAAATACAAACAAAACAGTTCAAGACCTAAAACTGGAAACAGAATAAAAAAAAAAACAAAACGAAATTTAAGGAAATCTAGAAATGAAAACTTTAGCAACCTCAAGCAGAGCATGGTGGTGCACACCTTTAATGTCAGCACTCAGGGAGGCACAGGCAGGTGGATCTTTGTGAGTTCAAGGCCAGCCTGGTCTATAAAGCAATTTCTTTATAGAAATAACAGCCAGTTTCTTTGTTACACAGAGAAACCCTGTCTTGAAAAACAAAACAAAACAAGAAAGAAAAAAAAAGAAAGAAAGAAAAGAAAGGAACCTCAAGAGACATGCCTCACCAACAGAATATAAGATGGAAGATAATCACAGGCACTGAAGACATGCTAGAAGAAATGGGTACCTTGGTAAAAGAAAATGTTAAGTTTAAAAAAGAAAATCCTGTCACAATACATCCAGAAAATAGGGGACACTATGAAAAAAAAATCTAAGAATAATAGAAATAGAAAAAGAAAGGTCAAAGGCACAGAAAACATTTTCAGTAAAATCTTAGAAGGAAAATTTCCTAACCTAAAGAGCAAGAATGTCTATCAAAGTATAAGGAACACCAAGCAGACTAAATCAGAAAAGAAGTCCCTTGGCACATAACAATCAAAACACTGAACATACAGAATAAAGAGAATATCAAAGCTGAAAGGGGAAAAGACCAAGTAACAGAAAGGCAGACGTAACAGAAAGGCAGACCTATTAGAATAACACCTAATTTCTCAATGGAGACTCGAAAACCCAGAAGCCTGGACAGATGTTCCACAGACTCTAAGAGACCACAGATGCCAGCCCAGATCCACTATATTCAGCAAAACTTTCAATCACAATAGATGGAGAAAATAAAACATTCTACGATAAAACCAAATTTAAGCAATATTTATCTACAAATTCAGCCCTACAGAAGGTGCTAGAAAGAAAATAAGTAATCCCAGACCATCAAATCAAATCAAATACACACACATACACACACACATACACATACAAGAGCAAAGTAAAAGAAACTGACAAACACTGATAATTACACACACATACACACACATACACATACAAGAGCAAAGTAAAAGAAACTGACAAACACTGATAATTGATGTATCTCAACACCAATGGTCTCAATTTCCCAATAAAAATACAAACTAATTAGGTGCAGCGTGGGGAGCCTTGTGGAAGAGTCAGAGGAAGGATAGATGGACCCAGAGGGGACAGGACCTCCACAAGAAAACCAACAGAGCCAACTAACCTAGGCCCAGGGGGGCTTGCAGAGACTGAAGCACCAACCAAGGACCATGCATGGACTGGACCTAGGTCCCTTACACATATGTACCAGATAGGCAGCTTGGTCTTCATGTGGGTTCCCTAGTAAGGGGAGGGGTGCGGGGGCTGTCTCTGCCATGAACTCTTGCCTGCTTTTCAATCGCTTCCTCCTGGTGGAGCTGACTTGCCAGGCTACTGTGAAAGAGGATGTGACTTGATGTGCTGCGTGCTGGTACTGCCCTTTTCTGAGGAGTAGGGAAGGGGGGAGGGGGAAGTGAGGGAGGGAACATGGGACTGGGAGATGAGGAGGGAGGAAGCTATGATTCAGATGTAAAGTGAATAAATAAGTAAAAATTTTTAAAAAAGACAGATTAACAGTATGTATACAAAACCAGGATCTACCCTTCTGCTGCACCAAGAAACACACCTTCACATCAAGGACAGATATCACCTAAGGGTAAAAGGATAGAAAAAGAGATTCTATCTTTTTATACTGAAGAAGCAAGCCTGTACAGCCATCTTAGTATCTGACAAAACAGACTCTAAACCAAAATTAATCAGAAGAGATGGGAAAGGACACTACATACTCATCATTGCAATTCTTTTTTTTTTTCCTGCGATAGCCCAGACAGCCTCGAACTCACAGAGATCTACCTGCCTCTGCCTTCCAAGTGCTGGGGTGAAAGGTGTGCACCATCATGTCTGGAAACATTGCAACTCTATGTCACAAATACAAAGGCACCCAAGTTCATTAAAAAAAAAACTACTATAGTTTAAATCACATATTTATTGCCCCTCACACACTGATAGTGGAAGACCTTATAGCCCATTCCTATCAATAAATAGACAGGTCATTCAGACAGAGCTGAACAGAGAAATGCTGGAGCTAATGTATGTTCTAAACCAAATAAACAGAAATTTACATAACATTTACCCCAACATAAAAAAATGCACTTTCTTCTCAACACTTCATGAAACTTTCTCCAAAACTGAACACATGTACTGAATGTCAAGCTGCATATCAACAACAAAAGAAACAACAGAACACTTACAAACTCATAGCAATGGAATAACACATTACTGAGTGAAAAATGGGTCAAGACAGAAATTGAGAAATTAAAAGCTTTCTAGAATTGAATGAAAATGAATACACAACATCCCAAAACTGATAGGATGCAATGAAAGCAGCTTTAAGAGGCAAGAACTACTACTTAGTGAGTTAACAACACCCCTGAAAGATCTGGGACAAAAAAGAAATCACACCCAAAATGAGTAGACAGTGAGAAATAATCAAATAAACAAAAAACAATACAAAGAATTGGTTCTCTAAGAAATTTATTAATAGTGACAAACCATTATCCAAATTAACTAAAAGGAGGAGAGAGAATATCTAAATTAACAAAATTAGAAATGAAAAGGGGGGCATAACAACAGACACTGAGGAGATCCAGAGGATAAAAAGGACATACTTGCAATGTAAGTCAAAACTACTTAGAGGTTTAATCTTACTCCAATCAGGATGGCTAAGGTCAATAAAACAAGTGACAGCTCACGTTGGTGAGGATAAGCGAAATAATCATCCGTTGCTGGTGGGAGTGTAATTTTTTACAGATACTATGGAAATCAGTGTCATAACTTCTCAGGAAGATGGATAAACCTCAAGATCCAGCTACACCACTCTTAGGCATATACCAAAAGGACACTTCATCCTACCATACAGATACTTTCTCAACCATGTTTATTGCTGCTGTATTCACAATAGCCAGAAGTTGGAAACCACCTAGATGTCCCACTAGAAGAATGGATAAATAAAATTTGATACATTTACACAATAGAGTATTACTCGGTTGTTTTAAAAAGTGAAATTCACAGATAAATGGATGGAACTAGGGAAAAAAATCATCCTAAGTGAGGTAACCTAGACTCAGAAAGACAAATATGTATATATTCACTTACATGTGAATATTAGCTAAGTCAATGATAACTAAGCCAATCTGTAGGACCACAGAGGTTGAATATAAAGTAAGAGACTTGAGGGGATAGATTGATTTCCTTAGGAAAAAGAAATAGATGATTATGGATGGGTGGGGTAGGATCTGGAAAGGGAGGGTCAAGTGGGAACAGGAAGGGCAGAGAGAGGAATGAGGGAGATAATACAAAGAGAGAAGGTCATTTGAGGGGTAGTATGAAAATTTAATATGGTAGAAGTTTCCTAAAATATAAATATATTAGAGTGATCTAAATGAAGTTGCCCCAACTGGCCATCTCTTGTCACCAAATGAAGCTTCCAGTCTCAGGACTGGCCTTGTGTAGCCTCAGCGGGAGAGGATATGGCTAGTCCAGCAGGGACTTACTGTGCCAGTGAGAGTTGGTACCCATGGGGACCTCCCCCTTCTCTGAAGAAAAGGAGAGGGGAGAATGGAGAAGAGGTGTGTGTGAGAGAGGCCGTGAGTTTACACAGTGATGGTGATGATTTTCTTCTAAGTTTCTGCTCCACTTTGTTTCTTGAAGGCATAATTATACTTTTTTGTTTTATATCCTGTATACACACAAAATATGCAAATATTTGAAGGATGACTGAATTAATAATAACATTGATAGCATACATTAAAAATGGTCTTATGCTGCATTTTTACTAAAGGAAGTTTAATATTAATATAAAGAGCTTTGCTCATAAGATTGACACATTGATGAAAAGTATAGCACTGGCTAATTTCTGAGTATCTTTTGTAACGTAAATAAAGAGAACAATAATTGAACTATGGTAAATGAGGGAAGGATAAAAAGAGGTTATAAATAACTTCCAATTAGCCTCTTCTTTGTGCCTGAAATCAGGGATTCTTTTCAGACTGACGAAGAAAATGTGTGAGAAGGTAAAGGGATATTCAGGTATCTGAAGAACTTACTGTTTATCTTCTATTGATAAAGGGAATTTGAGATTAAGGATACATACATCTCAGGAAAATCCTCCACACAGAACTTTGTTGTTCCCTGATCCAGGACTGAATTATCTGTCACTTCTGGAACTGGACTAGCTGAGGCCGCACAGAACTTTGTTGTTCCCTGATCCAGGATTGAATTATCTGTCACTTCTGGAACTGGAATAGCTGAGGCCAAAAAGGAACAGTCATCATTTGTTTCTAAAATGTTTCTTACACTTAAGAAAGCCAAATACCCATCTTTTTCATTATGGGGTTATCTTTACTTGTTCACACACTACTTTTCCAAAGTGATATCTGATTCTTTAGAATCTGCTTCCTTCAAACTCGGTCAAGAGAACATCATCTGAATGTACCAATAACATGCTCCTTTTCACAGCTTCTCTTTGCCTCAATACGACTATGCTCCCAGATAACCCTGGTCAACAGTTTCTGCTGAAGGCCTCATAAGACCTTCATTAAGCATTCTAGTTCATTCTGACATGCTTCCCTCAAAGGCCCATAATACGGCTAGTAGAACTCTCGTACTTAATCATAAACAGCTTTAAATTAAAATTCTATGCATCTATAGATCAGTTCTCAGATTAGATCCCTGAGTCCTTAAGGAGAGAGACCACATCCTAGTCTTGTGCCAGAATATGCAACTGCATGTTCTGTCATGATAGTGTCAGTTTCTCTCAATGTTACTTCTGCCTAGGTTTGTTGCTTTGAAGATGTTAGTTAACATCCTCATCATTGCCTCATGGAAAATATCATAGTATTTCAGAGAACACATCTGGAAATCACTCAGCCTAGACCGTAATCCTTGTGCTACTACTTATTAACTTCATGATCTTGAGTAAATCTGATAACCATTACATATCTGTTTCCTTAAACATGAACTAGGAACAATAGCTACTTTATAGTATTAGTGTAAAGATTTAACATGATGAGATATACAAATTAATTGGAGGGATGCCAGACATATTGCAAGTTCCCAGTAAAATTTGCCTATTACTTAAATTTTCTTCTGTTTTTTTTTTTTTTAAAGGAAGAAATGATTATCTTTCTCTTCCTTTACTTTCAGAGCAACAGCCTGATGAAAGATACTCTGCAGAGCCAAAGAGATGGCTCAGCGGTTAAAAGCACTGGCTTCTACTCTAGAGGACCCTGGTTCAATTCCCAGCACCCACATGTCAGCTCACAACTGTGTGTAATTCCAGTTCCAGGGGATCCATTGATTGAATCAGGAATGCCTGTGATGCACATATTTGAGCATGCAGGCAAAATGCTCACACACATAAAATAAAATTAAAAATCTCAAAAAAAAGAGCTACTTTGCATCTCCAACATGATTATGACCTACAACCCACCAATCTTCCCATTTGCATAATTTTCAGCATGGTTTCTTGTTACTTTCTTTCTCATCCAGGTTGTTCTGTATAATCCACACCTTATAAAGACTTGATTCCCTTGCCCCTCTTTCCCTGCCTAACTTAGGAAAACCCTATCATCAATTTTCTATGTATAGTGAGAAAAATCATCTAGCCATGTTGAATTATCTCATTCAAATGGCTGCCAACAACACTGACAAGGAGTAACAACGCATCCTCTACTAAAAGTGCTTTTGTCACTTTTACAATTATTTCACACGTTCTTCCCTCCAATATCTAATGTGTATTCCCCTATGTCCTATGATTTTGCCTTTACATATTAGGTTGATATAAAAGAGAGCTAATCATTTCCTAGCACCAATTTTACCAACCTACGGTTATGAGTCTTTATGATCTCTATTGCCCTATCTATGAAAAGAAAAAGACTTGTGGCTCCTATTGAATATGAATTTTTCTGTGCTCTTGGTACTATTCCTCTTTAATCTGTTTTTTTTTTCTTTCCTGCAAACAAACACTCTAAGCTGTCTTTTTTAAATTTTATATTGAAAATAAATCACATTAGCAAAGTAACTCTTAGCTGGGCATGGTGACATACACTTTTAATCCAAGCACTCAGGAGACAGAGGGAGGTGGATGTCTGAGTTCTAGGCCAACCTGGTCTACATAGCAAGTTCTAGGATAGCCAGAGCAACATGAGACCTTGTCTCAAAAAAACAAAACAAAACAAAACAAAAAACAAAAAAAAAAAAGGAAGAAAGAAAAGGAAGGAAGGAAGGAAGGAAATAAGGAAGGAAGGAAGAGAATAAAAAAAATAACTTTTAGCCCATTTCCTTGGAGCTACTGCTTCATTTGTAAATTTTACTACAAACAGTCAGTACTTTTGCTCCTGGAAGTCCTACTTCAGGGTACTCAATAAACTTTTCTTTAAAAATAAAAGTAAATATAAAGGTTTTACATCATATACTCATTTCTTAAGTGTTGCCCAAACCCACTTCCCATTCTCTTTTCAGTGAACTCCAAGGTTACAACCTGTGTGTCGAGGTGAGAGTCAGTTCTCACCTCCCATCCCGTGGGGTCCAAGTTTCAATTCTGGCTGTCAGGTTTGGCAGCAAGCATCCTTACCCACTGAGCTGTCTTCCTATGCCCCATGCCTCTACTTTTGACTCCTAGCCTCTACCCTTCCCATTTTTAAGACAACCAGAATTGTCTTTTCTAAAATATGATTTGGGTTCTCCCGTTCTTTTTCTTAAAACTGTCCAATGGTTTCTCATATTTGCAAGTTTATTAGCCAGTTTGAGCTTCTATACCTCAAAATGTATAGACTAGGTGACTTGAACTAAGAACATTTGTTTTTCATAGCATTATAGGTTAGAAAGTCCAATAACAAAATTCCAGCAAATTCAGAATCTGATGGAGATTCTCTTCTCCTTCATCTTGCTATGTCTTTAAGATGGAAAGGAAAATAGGGTTTCTTTGGGTCTTGTACAGAGCACTAATCTGAAGCCTCATGACCCCTTTCTCAAATACAATCACAACGGTGATTAAATTTGAACATAAGGTTTCAAGGGCACATGGACATTCACGCTATTGTTTTTATGAAAATAAATAGACAAGAAAAGTCCATGTTATGTTCTATAAAGCCTTAGATAACACAAAATTTGCTCATATCTCAGATCTCCTTTTCCTTACCTAGTCATATGGCCTAGTTTTCTTAATTTACCACATTGAACTCAGAACTAACTTTTAAGAAATAAAAACAAACATACCGCTTGTCCATGGACTCCTATATTTATCATCAATAACATTTTCATCTTGATTTAAACATGAAGAGATCTGAAGCAATAAAGCATCTCGGTAAAGCCTTTCTTTAACTGTGTTCTGCATGAAAAGGTACAATAATCTTAACTATTTACCAACATTCAGAATATTGTCATAAGCTGATATAATTTTTATTTAAAAGAGATACATTTGTCATAAAGATGTCAAATTAAAGAACCACATAACAGAGTAATATCAGGAAGTTGTCTTACAAAAGTTTTTTTTTTCTATAACAGGCTAAACTACATGTGTGCTTAACAACAACAAAAAAAGTATTACATCATTTAGCAATATGGTTTTCTTCCATTAACCAGTGTAATGCCACTGTCTTAACTTTTGTTTTCTATGCTAAAACCTGAACACTGGCTTCTAATTTCAAAAATAAACTTAAGGAAGGAAACTCTTCCTTTAAATGGACATTAAAGGTGGCCACAGAGGTGCAGCTTAAATCTTAGCCCGTGGGAGGGTGAGACAGGAGGATTACCAGTTTGAGGCCAGCTAGGAGTACAGAGCAAGATCCTGGCTCAAACAAACAACACAGAAAGGAGTAAACCTGTGGCTTAGCTCAAGTTCTACTTGGCTCTGCCTCGATGTCCCAACTTTAACTCCCATTAATTTGTGGCAATAGACTAGTCCCTCTTATAGCCATCCCACTTCCCATCTCCTGCAGAGGTCACAATACCACAGTCTACTCTGTGGAAAAAGTGCTGCTGTTCCACAGCTATCACTCTCAGGTTAAGAAGTATCTCCTCTATGAAGCCTTCTCCAGTGACTCTGACTTCCCTTGTAATTCATTATTCTCTTTACCAGCAAAAATGGTTGGGGTTTTTTGTTGTTGTAATTGTTTATGTTTTATGTTGCTGAAGGTATTAAATAAGAGATTATCATTATCAAAGAATAAGTGGTATAAAAGATCATTTACTCTGGTCTATATAAAATGAGGACCAAAGACACATGTAAACAGGAAAAAAACCTTGACTAGTATTTCATGTAACAAAGTTATAAGAAATAACTTATATTTAAGAAATTTTGTTTGTAATTGCTTTTGGAATAATTTTCTCATAAAATATATTTGATGATATAGATGGCATTAGTTTTCTTCTTTGATCATAAAAGGGATAACTTGTAAAAAAATTTGAATTAGCAAAATATTTCTGACTCCTTGGATATTCAGATCAGTTTCTTTCTCTTCTCTGTTAAGAAATCTTACTTTATTCAAGTCTTAGTTGTTATTTGAGTGGCTTTTACTGCTCCTTCATTGACTCTATAAAGCCTCACAACCTTTACAGGATTTGACGTTTCTCAGCATCACATCCAGATTATATCACGGAGTGCGGTACATCAGTAAGAAACTAAAACACCATGAATAAGGACAAATCTTTGAGGACTTTTGAGTATCTGCATTTTTGCAAGTTATCAATACATTAATAAATGTTACATAGACTTCTAATTCCCACCCAAGCATATGTTAAAGCTACATATTTGAGTCTCTCAGTTACAAGAGAATAAATAAAACCTGAAGAGGACTATATTTTCCTTCCTTTTTTTCTTTCCTTTTTTGTTTTATTTGTTTGTTGTTCAAGACAGGGTTTCTCTGTGTAGCCCTGGCTGTCCTGGAACTCATTCTATAGGCCAGACTGGCCTAGAACTCAGAGATCTGCCTGCCTCTCCCTCCTGAGTGCTGGGAGTAAAGATGTGTGCCACCATCGCTTGGCTGACTATGTATATTTCTTACTCCTATAAAATGTAACAGAGTTTTAGTTTACTGGAATATTTTTGTCCTGGTAAACAGGGCAGGTTAATATAATAATAAAAATGAAATTTTAACTTGCCAATTAGCTTCATAAGAACAATGAACTATTTTATGACTTTCTACTACAACACATTTATTAACAATATAGCTGGACTTGAAATTCATCTCTGACATTTTCCACAAGCTACTTAGCTTCTCTGGACATTACTTTGCTAACTGTGAACCTATAAAATCTGACACCTGAGTACTTACATTGGTCAAATGACATAATCCACTAGAATGACAAAGTATCTGATTCATTGCGACACACTGTTATTGTCCCAATAACAATGACTAGGATTACTTTTGTGCCCATTCTTTCTTTCTTTTCTTTTCCCAAGATGGGTATCACTGTATAGCCCTAGGTGGCCTGAAACTTGTTCTGCTGTTTTAGCTTTCCAAGTGCTGGGATTACAGGCATGCCCCACCATTCCCCACGTCTCTTAAAGGAAGACCATTCCGAATGTTAAGTCACTCTCCACACTTGCCACAGTTTTCTTCAGATAGCTTCAGACTTAGATGCTATTGAATTGTTTTAGTTAATTTTAAACATCCCTTACAAAAGTGAACTTTTTAAAGAAATATTAAAAGTTGAGATGGCTGGTGAGATGGCTTCTGAGGTTGAAGGCACTTAACACCAAGGCTGATGACCTGGGTTTGATTTCAGGGCCCCACACAGTAAAAAGACAGAATCAGCTCTTGCAAGCTATCCTCTTAACCCCGACATGCATGCCGTGGCAAGAGTATGTACAAACACACACACACACACAAATATTTTTTAACTGCTATTAAAAAAACCTTAGTAAGCTAATAACATCATACCTCATGTATATAGTCGATTGCATAATATTTGAATGCTGAAAACATAGCTCTTCCCTTCAAAGCCATACAAAGTTCAATATCTAGAAACGTAAAAGTTAAATGTTGGTAAAATAGCAAAGCCAAGAGAAGAAAAATCTATCTTAACCAGAAGTGTTTTGTTCACTTATTTTTCAAAAGGCCCTTAGTGATAAAAGTTAACTATAAACCAACTTTTATTTTTGTGATTAAAAATCTAAAACGGAAAATAATGTGCATTGTTATACATTTCTCTATATTTTCTCTTGTCATTTAATCCATACAAGTTAGTGACTTAAAATGTTTAATATGATAATTTTCTTGAAAAGAGGCTGGAGTGGCAGACATGAAAATAGTATTTTACCCAGGGTAATTGTGTTTCTCAAGTGATTTTGAAATTAAATAAACAAGGTCAAAACTCTATAATAAAGAAATACAGGACTGGAGAGATAGTTCAGTGGTTAAGACCACTGGCTGCTCTTGCCAAGGATCCAGATTTAAGTACCAGCACTCACAACTGTCTGTAACTCCACTTCCAAGTGCTCTGAAGCCCTCTTTTGTCCTCCAAAGCCACTGCACCATATGTGGTACGCAGATAGGCATGCAAGCAAAACACCTACATGCATAAAATAAAAATAAGTAAATCTTTAAAAGTAATAACATAGTGGTTATTTCTAAAAGAGAGTTAGATTTGGTAAATTATATCCATTCTCTTACTTAGAAAATCAAGGCCTAACCTTAGAATTCTCTAAAATAGCTAGCTCATTGGGAATAAGTGATTATGGTATGATGAAGCAACCAGGCCAACAGACTATTGGAAAATCAAACCTACTTAATAACACAATAAGTAATTAGAACTATGAGTTAGACCAGGATGGTCTTCACGTGAGAAATTACTCAGAAGTTACTCAGTTAACCAAATAGCTCTTAGTATTTTTGCCATTTGAAATGTCTGGAAAGAGTGTGATGCTGTGAGGCATGCTAGTACCAAGCACCAAGAACGAGAAGGCCAGCCAGTTTAGAGTACAAAGCCAGTGTGGGCTACTTCGTGTAGTGAGGCACTCTCTAAATAAATAGTCTGTGGGATGCTGGGATAGCTCAGTGATAAAGGACTTGGCTAATCCCTATCCTTGCAAAAACAACCAAAATGTTACAAGGAATTCAGATGTCAGTCAGACACTTTTACATAATAGTTTATTAATAATGTTTTATTGAATACATATTTTAATACATATGGTCTTGGCCTAGTGCAATTATTATTTCTCTTTCTCTTTTTTTGTGGCTTAAGTGGTGTCTTATATAATATGAAGTACTGAAATCTGAAGACCTGAAGATATGGCCTGGGTAGTAGTGGCACACGCCTTTAATCCCGGCACGCGGAGGCAGAGGCAGGTGGAGCTCTGAGTTCCAGGCCAGCCTGGTCTACAGAGTGAGTTCCAGGACAGCCAGGGATAAGAAGAGAAACTCTGCCCCCCCAAGACAAACAAACAATCAAACAAACAAACAAAGACCTGAAAGATACTATCCACAGGAGAGGGCTACAATCTATTCCTGTTTTCAGTTATCATCAAGTAAATATTCTTTTCATAAGACTTTTGTTGCATTTCTATTTATTTACATGTGCACACACACACACGTGTGTGTGTGTGTGTGTGTGTGTGTGTGTGTGTGTGTGTGTGCGCGTGACATGGTGTGCACAGAAGTCAAGGGATAACTTGTGGAAATCTGTTCTCTCCTTCGACTATGAGGGGCCTAGGGATCAAACCCAGATCCTCAGGCCTACTGGCTTTTACACAGTTCGCTGGCCCAAAGTGAACTCCTTAACTACTCAACTTGCTGAAATTTTAAAAGCAAATAGACTTCTAAAAAAATCCACAAACATAATTATTTTGATTAATAACAGAAATTTTTAGATACTATGATAAGTCTTTCAATTAAACTAAACTGAGCAAATACATAGTCCAGAATAGTTTTGATATTGACAAGATCTTAAGCATGGTGCCAGTTGTGTACTAGGCCCATCGTAATGCCACCATAGCATTTTTTACTGGTGATTATCTGAGAATATTTATAATCATTACATTTATGCCTTTCTACACACTGCATTACAATTTTTGAAGCAAACATTGATTTTAGAATTTTCATGTCTTTAAAAAATTATTTATGAGAGAAAAGACATCTGAAGTAGATGAGGGAGGGAACTAGATAGGAGAAGGGGTGAGGACAGTAACTGGGGTGGGGATCAGGTATGGGGTGAATAGGGTGAGGAGAGGACCAGGAGAGAGATGAAAATCAGTGTGGGGATACATCTCTGGGACAAGGAGGCCCCTGGGAGTCTATGGGGGTGACCCTAGCAGACACTCCTAGCAACAGGGGATATGAAGCCTGAAGTTTTCACCTCCTGTAGCCACATGGGACTTTCAGTAGAGGAAGGGGGACATCAACACACTCATAAAACCTTCGATCCAAAATTGGTCCTGCCTATGAGAAGTATAGGGATAAAGATGGAGCAGAGACTGAGGGAACGGCAACCCAATGACTGGCCCAATTTGAGAGCCAACCCCTGACACTATTAATGATACTCTGCTATGCTTGCAGACAGGAGCCTAGCATAAGTGTCCTCTGAAAGGTTTCATCCAGCAGCTGATGGAAACAGATACAGAGACCCACACCAAACAACAGGCTGAACTCAGGGATTCTTGTGGAAAAGTAGGAGGGCAGATCGAGGGAGTCGGAGGGGTCAAAGACCCCACAAGAAGACCTACAGAGTAAACTAACCTGGGCCCCTGGGGGCTCACAGAGACTGAACCACCAACCAAGCAGCATACATGGGCTGGACCTAGACTCCTACACATATGTAGCAGGTGTGCAGCTTGGTCAATATGTGGGGGTAGGGGCTGTCTCCAACTCTGCTGCCTGCCTTTGGATCCCTTTTCCCTAGCTGGGCTGCCTTGTCTGGCCTCAGTGGGAGAGAAATTGCTTAGTCCTGCTGTAACTTAATGTGCCAGGGTGGGTCGGTACACATGGGTGGGAGGAGCTCCCCTTCTCTGAGAAGAAGCGGAGGGGGAATAGGGTGGGAGGATGGGAGTAGGAGGAGAGGAGGGAGAGGGGGTTGTACTCAGGTTGTAAAGTGATTAAATAATTAATGGGGAAAACCATGCACGTGTGTCTGTGTACCATATGCATGTCTGGTGCTCTTGGATCTCCTGGGATCACCGATGTTGAGAGATGCCATTTGAGTGCTGGGCATTAAATCCTGGTCCTCTGAAAAAGCAGGCAGTGCTCCTACCCACTGAGTCATCGCTGTAGCCCCAAAGTTTTGTGCCTTAAAGTTACATTTTCTCAAAAAATGATGACTGTGCATCATTTTAGAAGTGGTTTATAGGCTGAAAGCAAGCACAACTCTACTTAGCCTACCCACTCAGCTTATAGTCATTGTCAAATTTTCCCCCTTACACGGGAAGCCTAGTATTTCTATCAGCTCTAGACTGACTCATCACTCTCACCAACTACTTTGAAGAAAGTTTTCTTTATTGACATCGATAATTGATAGTCACACTCCGATGTGCTGAAGATATCATACATTTCATCCCCATCAGAATTTCATCTGCTGAGTTATCGCATCGAATAACAGTTAGCCGAACCCACTTAGTGTGTTGGGCGAATGGGAAAAAAGAAGATAAATTGGCATTATATTTAAAGGTCAAGCAAACAGGAGACAAGCATAATCACTGTCAAGATTAGTTTGTTGATTTCTGAGACAAAGTCGAACCAGAGTAGCCCTTGAATTCAGAATCAGCCTCTTGAGGGCTGGGACCAAAGGTGTGTGCCACCACACTGGCCAGAGATAATTTTTATTTTATTTTTAATTAATTAATTAGGTTTTTTCGAGGCAGGGTTTCTCTGTGTAGTCATCATAGCTGTCCTAGAACTTGCTCTGTAGACCAGGGTGGCCTCGAACTCACAGAGGAGATCTGCCTGCCTCTGCCTCCCTGAGTGCTGCGATCACGGATGTGCGCCAACCCTGCCTGGCTCAGAAATAATTTTTTAAAAGGTTAACTTTTAAATAGTGGCAATTTCCCAGGTTTATTTTAAAATCTATTTCTAAAGATTTTTTTTCTCCCTCCCTGCTTCCTCCTATTGGAATAACGGGTCAGAATGAAAACATACACAATAATCAGGTCAGGCTCCTGGCAACAAAGCTGAGGAAGTTAGTTTTACCGATGTCAGCACCGAGGGGTGTCTGAACCTTTGAGTCTAAGATGCATCTTCTCCCATTCCAGGAAGGCATTCTGGAATTTTCTCCCCACTCCCTCACAGAAACCAGTGAAGAAGCTTCTTTTTTCCTTACGGGGTGCGGTGGGGGTAGGGAAAGTAACACTGTAGAGGAGGCGCCTTTCCTTTAGCGCCCCATCACCTGCGCAGCTAGCTGGGCCGTCAGGTCGCTCGTACTCCATGCTCTCGCTTAATCAGGGCGGGCGGAAGCTGGGCCCGGGACGTCGTCCCTGCTGGGCTCCATAAACCCCCTCGGAAATCTGCTTTCTCGAGAATTCTGACCGTCACACTCGAATTCCTCAAATCTCGGCTTACCCTCAGCTAGCGCACACCTTCCTTCCCCTCACAACGCCTCCTCCCATGAGGTAAAAGCTCCCGCTTTGGGTTACAAAGGCGACAGTTTCCCCGCCCATCGAGCACGTGACCTCAGCGGCTGCTGAAGCCAACGCTCCCATTGGCCAGTGCAGGCTCCGCCCTCCAGTTGGTTCCTCTTGCCCGGATGTGGCAGTCTAGGGTGGTCTGCCTGGTTGTTCCGGAGTTGAAAGCCTTCTTCCCACATTAGAAAGCTGGGTGAAGTGTGACACCCAGTGTGTGTGTGTGTGTGTGTGGGGGGGGGGTGGTGAGGTTTGACGTGAGGGAGGCGTGTCAACCGGAAGTTATTAACTAAAGTCTCCAGAGCAACGCTTGGCTGGTAGCTTTTCACAGGTAACTTTGAGAGGATTTAGCAATCAAGTGGCTTCAGAGAAAGACAGAGGGCAAAAGGGAGAAGGCAAACA